AGTGAATACTATTACAGTGAAACCTCTGAATATCGGGCTCTCTTGGTTACCAAAATGTCGTCCGCTATTCATAGAAATACATTTTTGAAATTCATAAAGAATATATGTGTAAAAGTTAAAAATATATGCTAGGTTAAATTAAATTCTAGTGTTATTATTTAATACTTTAATTGTGACACAATAATAATATATGTGTCAGTTACGTTGTATGTATAACGTAGTAATAGTATTTAATAATAACTAATAAAAAAATAATATATGTGTGTGTGTGTTTAATAATAAAAACAATTTAGATTGTGCATACATATTTAAAAATATATAAATAAAAAATGAAATAGGTACATACTGAAATACAATTCAATTTTATGAGAAAAACCGGTTAGCTTGGTTTGTTTATAGTTATGTAATATCTGTACAATATCGTTAGTAAGTTAATTTACTGAAGTTACAGTAGAACAGAAAATAATACTGTTTCTACCTTCATTGACGATATGAAGCCAACGCATCCCGTAAACTTGTAACGTGATATTTTTAAGTTTCTTCCTCCTTCATCTCGTTTTTTCCTTCACTATCGATCTCATCAAGCTCATCGGGATCAACAATCGTGGTCATGGTTATCTACCGTGTATACCGTGAATAAATAACCGTGGTCATTGTCGCCGTCATTAATTCGTGGCTATGGGTGAAATCGATTTCGTTCAAAGTAACATGGGAATTTTCTTCAACATTGCTGTCAATTAGTGCGATAAGTGATATAAGTTCTTTATTTATTTTGGATTCAGTATCATTTATTTGTTCATAGACTGGTTGACGACTAAAATCACATCGCATGAAGTACATTCTTACAGTTTCAGCCTTAACGTAGGCTTGAGCAGAAACCATCCAATACACAACGTCCAGCACATTAATAGCGCTAGACTCGCCAGTATCTAAATCAGCAACAGTTTTTTGTAATAGTTGCTTTAGAGATAGATTCTTGAATTGTTGGATTATTTCTTGGTCTTTAATTAACTAGTTTTTTATCGTTATACTAGTTGTGAGAAGCCATTTTTCTGTCGTCAATTTTTCATTATTTTTAAACTAAAATCAAAATAGGAATCCATTATTCGAAGGTTATCCTATTGAAAAGTAATGAAGATTTCCCAGTTTTCAAAAAATCGTCAGTTATTGGGAGGTGTCCGTTAAAGGAGACTTTACTGTATAGGTTACTATACATTATGTACCACTTTCACTGTTCACCACTTTACATTGTATAATAAATCCAAAACGGTTCCTCGCAGATAATAGTATGTGTTTCTCGCGGATACAATAATAACGCCCAAATCGTGTGTGGACTCACAAAATCACGTGGGTACTGTAGCTTTTTACATAAGCGTACACACGGGGTAGTCAGAGTAGGCATTTGGCTACTCTGTGAAACTTCCCTCCTCACCGAAATATTCTATATTATCGCAGTAATAAATAACCATATTATGTTCAACCACTTCGAAACGTCTTGAAAGTATTGGAAAAGTATAATTATTAAGTTAAATAAAATCCAAATTTGTTTTTAATGTTAATGTGTTATGTATGACTACCCTAATTTCTGCGCACGCTTATGGCTATATATATATATATATATATATATATATATATATATATACATGTACCACTTTATCCGCTCGCTATATCTATTAGTAGTGTACATTTGTACACGGTGTAGTTCAATATACACAACGGTATATCTACACTGTAAAAGTTCTCACACAAACACACACACACACACACACACACACACACATACACACAAACGCACACACGTACCTTCGATCAGAAGCTACTTGTAAGCGCTTACTACCGGGGCAATGCCCCGATAAAAACATTTTTATGCACATCTTGGTTAAATAAATTAAAATTTAATAGGCATACCAGTTTATTTATGAATATACTCGAATTAGGAGATACATAATTTACGTTTTAGCGTTTAAGTAATTTTAATGTGATTCGAGAGAAGCTAGAAAAAAATTTACGGGGTAGGTGGGGTGGTTTGAATTATACTACCCTGGTAAGATGCAAATCTTCAAACCATCTCTACCTTCGATGTATAATAATATCTATACACAACGCGAACAGGTACGTTAAAGCAAACTCCCCGTTGTCGTCGACAAATCCTTTAGATATCATGCGTTCCGTTTCGCCGTCAAGTGTAGGACACGCTCGTCCGCGGGTATGCTCGCCAAGTCTACGAGCAAACGTGACCGTATTTCATGTATACAAGTTACCCTAAACGAATTTTTTCGCATAGAGTGAACCAATTACACAATGTTCAATAATAAAAGAACAGTATTTTGTGACTCCTAAGATTTTATTACACGCTTTAAAATGTCGTAGAACAAATGTACTTTATTTTTTGTACTGCTCAAAGCGCATCGTAGTACATACAATTTCGCGAGCTCGGGATACGGAACCACATGTTCACGCAATCGTGATATTAATAAAATGTTAAAAAAAACCCTTTTGATCGCACGCACGGAAATATCCGTCGACTTTTGTAAAATCATTTTGTACCGTCACCCCTACAGTCCGTAGGCACCTAATATGTTTACATGCACATGCGAAGCGCGTCGTTATACGAATACCGGCGGTGACGGAAATGGACAATACTATCATAGATTATATAATTCAACTGTGTAATATTATGTTGTATTGTACCGAACACATGGCCGTGAATAGTATAAGTATAGGTATACACGAGTAACACAGAACGTAACACAATACGACTGCGTATATATTACATGTACTCATATAACACGACAATAATAATTTGCGTTGCATTCCTATACACTGTATGTGGTTTCCAACCTGAGGGTAATCACACAACAAGGGGTAAAATAGAATTTTTTGAGAGGTAAAAACTGGACTATTTTTATTTTTTTATGTACTTATTATGTATTTATTTGATTACGTATTACCTCTTGTCAAAATTATTATAATTGTTTTATTATCTTCAAATTATATTTATATAGTGTACTCTCGATTATCTTCTGCACAACGAACCATTTTTACATAAGTACGAACATAAAATAAAAAATTTAATTTTTTCTTTACATAATATTATGAATTATATTGTGTTTATACGATGAAAATTGTAAATAGCACATGGAAGTTACAATGTGTCGGAACACAGACCATTGTCTAGCGACATTGCATGCGCTAACTTCACAATACCGGACATTAAGCGTCATGGTAATGTTTCAGGGAAGTTACTGAGTCAAAATTATAAACTTATCATGTCTCGATGTGACTACTATGTTACTCAATTTTGAAAACAGGGATACGTATTATCCATCAATGCGGTTCCATAAATCGGTCTAATTGAGTCACAATAACCGATAACCCGATAATACGGGTTTTATGTTAGGTCTGGTGCACGTGCTTTATTAGCAAGTAAGGATATTTAATAACATCTTACCCGGTTTACGGGTAATGGTCTCGAAAAGGTTGGAAACCGCTGCTATAGAGCATATTATTATGAATAGTAAAATTTGCAAATATTTAATTGCACCACCCGAGCGGAGTTCGACATCGATTGATCAGAAATTTTAGAGAAATATTTCCGCGTAATCGTCTTAAATAATTGACATACATAATGCCGAGTTTTTGTTGTGTTTTGTCGTGCTACTTTCCGCAAGCGTGCGTATTATGTTTTCCGTACGTGTGCTCGGTTTTCGGGCGCGGAAAAGTGATGTCTTGGAAAACCGTAATTTTGCTTCACTCTTACATATACAATAGTGATGTTTTGAATATGTAATTCCTGCATATTTTCTCGTAGAAGATAACTTGATACAACAAACTGAGAGTGCACACTTATGTTTAACAAAATATTAGGTTGTTTTTAAGTGATTCGGGGAAAAATAATCAAAAATAATCCTGTACAGCAAGAAACACTAAAAAAACTATTTTTTTTTTTATTGCTTTTATTGCTTTTATTTAAAACATATAATAACTTAAAAATTACGTGTTTTTGTGAAAATACAGTGATTAAAAATTATTTGTGTTGCAAAACAATGGGTGAAATATTTTACAATAAATTTAAATTAATTTAAATAATTTAAAAGTGGAAACCTGCGTTAAAGATGAAATTAATGATAAGTGAGGTAATAAAAGAAGAACGAGAATTGAGAAGAAGAATTATAAAAAAGGAAGAGTAGCCCAAGAGAGGAAAGTTTGTTGAATAACGAGTTCCGGAGAAGAGAAAAATAAGAACATAAGAAAATAATGTGATTTAAGTCTCGTATGACTTCATTTGTATGGAGAGTGCAAAAAGAAGAAGAATCAAGTGAATTGAATTAGGAAGAAGATTAAGATCAAAACGGAGTCGAGAAAAGGAGATGATTGTGGATCGAAAAAGGTTCAGATCTTGGAACCAAGGGAAATGAGAAATAGACGTGGAGATAAATCTGTGCCAGGGGGCAAAGTTGGGGGAAAGAAAAGACCAGGAGTCTGATCATGTTTTTTTTTAATGTTTTGAGAAGAATGGAAAGGAAATCAGACAGTAAAATCTGTGACATTTTCACCAATCGCTAACAAACGATACGGTTAAAATGTCCACAACAGACGGATAAGATCTCGCAGCAGTTGTTGTTTAAAAAAAAAAAAACCATTTAAGCACATAGGATTCCGAAGCAGGTACAGAGTTGAACAATTCGCTACGAAAGAAAGATAACTTCAACAAATGTCTAGTGCATAAAAGTCTTTATAACCATTAAGTCTTGCATGTCATTATACACTTCAATGATTTTCCGAAAAACGTGAAAATTCGTTAAAGCTAGGACGACTAAATATATACATGCATACATACATGCATGAAAAAATTTAAAAAAAACGCCCTCCGTTAAAAGCGACACTGCGCAGCTGTCAACTAGTGTCAATAGTGGTCACGTCACACGCTTTGCATTAACCGTATACCTACGCGAATAATAATTATGCGCGTTTTGTGTTCTCGGTGTGCGGGACGGCAGGTGGGACCGGTGAACAAGTCGAAGGAGAAGAAGAAGTCGCACCGGAAGGTGACCAAGTTGGTGCTGACGGTGATCACGGTGTACGTGCTGTGCTGGCTGCCGTACTGGATCACGCAGGTGGCGCTGATATTCACGCCGCCCAAGCAGTGCCAGTCGAAGATCGTCATCACCATATTCCTGTTGGCCGGCTGCCTTAGCTATAGCAACAGCGCCATGAACCCCATCCTGTACGCGTTCCTCAGCGACAACTTTAAGAAGAGTTTTCTGAAGGCGTGCACGTGCGCCGCGGGCAAGGACGTGAACGCGGGCCTGCACCAAGAGAACAGCACGTTCCCGCGCAAGAACCGCGGCGGCTCGGAACGCGGCGGCGGCCGCACCGGCCGGGCCACCACCATACTGTGCCAGGCAGTCAGCGGCGGCGGTGGTGGTGGAGGCGGTGGCGGTGGGTGCAGGGACGACGAGGTCGAGTGCTGCGGCGAGACGGGACCGCTGGTCGGCCGTGCCGAGCTGGTCAGCAAAGAGAACACGTCCACCGCGCTCACCATGACATCCCGATCAACGTGCAACGACAACGTGCAACCCACCCCGTTGTAAACGGCCCGAACTCCGTGTGTGTAACAGCGGCCCCGCTGCACCGCGCGACAACCTCCCTCGTTTAATCCATCCTCCGTAATTCGCCTGTTATTATTATTATTTTATAACCGGATATTTATACACATATTAATATTATTATTACCAACTATTTACGTATAATAATATTATTATTATTATACCCAATCGTATTGACATTTTAAAAATTACTATTATTACTTTTTATACTAACGGTAATTTTCACCACCACCCCGACTGAATCCGAGTGAAACTTTCAGTGGCGATGCTATACCGAGGGATCGGCCGTCCCAGAACACATACAAAGTCTTAACACATAACACTAAGCCCGCCCGCCTTGATCGAAATCCTTACAAAGTTCATCCGGAGCAAGCACTAAGCATTTCAAAAAGGGACAGGGGGTGTTATCCAATATCAATCGTCAAAATTATGCATAGCAAAATAATATAACTTTAAGTATACTTTTTATACAATCGTACGAATACATGACCTACCTAATGTACGAGAAAATATTTCAATATTTAATTAAAATTTCAAGTGCAAATTTTGTCTCTTATTTATATATATATTAAATCGTCTATGGAACGACACAAATTGACGGCTTTAGATTTCAGACAAAACGATGTAATGAGAAGTCGGGTACCGGCTTTAAATTATTGTTATATGTATACAGGGGCGGACACAGAAAAAAATTTCGGGGGGCGTTTAGAAAAAATAAGAATAATTACCGTCAGGCCCGTATTTAAAAATTTGGCAACCCGGGCATATTATTTATGCCTCCCCCCAAAAAAAAATAAAAAAAAATAAATAATAATATAACACTTATTATTTCGTCCATAATTGAGATTTTTTAATATTAAAGTATAACTTATAAATGAAAATCGTTTAATACTTTTTTTAATTAACAAATTAAACAAATTATAACATAAACATACTATTTTTTTTTTAATTGTTTTATTTATTTTTTTTTTTTTTATTAAATACATCATTTTTAAAATTAATTTTGCTAAAATATTTTGCCACCCTTAAGACTTAACGCCCCCGGACATGTGCCTATCCGTGCCCCTCTAAATACAGGCCTAATTACCGTTATTTTGAAATAACTGACTATTAACTATAGATTGACTATTGTCGATCGTTATCACATGACCATACAACACAAAATTTAGGAAAACCGTCAATCATAATGTACCATTGTAAATAATATTATATCGATTACGTATATTTACTTATTTTTACTTACTGGTATTAAGCGACTTACAAACACGCATTATTTTTACGAAGTATTGCCATCATGGAATTTCAAAAATTTGAGTTTTAAGTACCAATACCTTTCAAAACATTTGGAAAATTACAAATTATTACAAATTCACTTTTCTTAACAAAACATTTTTTTCTAGCATATTTTAATCGTATTTTGAACAATTAATTTTTTTAAGATACATAGGGTAGGATAATTACGATTGAAATTAATCATCCATTCATTTCGAAGGGGGGGTTTGAACCCCCAAAACCCCTCCTTGCGTCCACCACTATATGTGTGCATATATATTCATCACGATAAATATGTTTTCATTGCGGTTCACAATAAATCTTTATAAACTAACCTTTACGAGATTTACGTTTAACATGGTCAATGAGGGAGTTGTGTTACTAAACCTGTAACACTGTCCCTGGCTACGCGCCTTCTCTGGAGCGCTTGAAAACCTCGAGCAACGATGCCGACGGGATATTATCCAATGCGTATTATGACGAATTCCCTGACAAGGTCTGAACCCTCTACCGAACTCGAGATATTATATCTGGGACGTCCCCCTTGGACGAGCAAGCAGACTACTGGCCGTCGTAACGGACTTGACAAATTCCGAATTCCTTGGCCCAGACATCCGATTTCATCTCGGTTTCGCGTTCGTTCGGTTCGTCAACACACTAACAATACAATTGTCGACTCTTCCAAAAATTGTTTAATATCCCGCATTTTTTTTTTCTTTCCCAACATTTAACATCAAAGTGTTTACTTTTAATTCTCACCGAGCCTCTCGATAACACACGTCGCATGATGATTTGGAGATCTTTCCTTAGGGAACATTAATTGCCATTGAAATGAATGACTGGTGTTCGGCCAGCACGTCGTTCACACCAAACTGCTGAAACATATATCATTTGTTTTACGAGCGTGCATGCTCATTCGGAAATCGTTAATAGATAAATATGAGTCCACGATGGCCGTCACTGTTAATAGACAGATACGCAAGATTTGCACAACAAACATTATATTTATGCGACGAAAAATCCTACTCATTTAATCCATTCTATTAATTCCCCCTCGTGCGTTAAGAATATTTTAGTTTAAAAATACTAAGACCTAACAAATAAACACAACCTCGGGCTATTTATAAATCCGTATAAAACAATTTCATTGCTAAACCTTAAGTGTTAACTCATCTGAATCTATTTTTTTAATTAACTGTTACCTATGACGTCCTAAAGCCAAAAATGAATAAGTAGATGGCAACAAAAAGTATAACTATTTTAAGAAGTGGAAAGAATTTAAGGTCGTTTTTATCAAATGTGTTGTATAAGTTATTTTAAGTTATAAATTTATCTAGTCATTTTTTATAATCATACAATTTTTTTACTTAGGTACAATTTTTATTTTAATTGAGTGATAATTAAGGCATTTTATACATTTGATCCAATGAAATTAAATTTAACTTACATAAAGTCCAAATTGTTAAAAATGTTGAATTATCTGAAATTTCAGATACAAGAATAAATATGAACACAGCCTTTATGTATAAAATAAACTACTTTTACATGGATTTGTTAAAACATAGAAGACAAAAAGAAAAAACAAGATATAAATATAATTAGATAATATTAATTTAGTGATTTAAGAAGACCATGAAAAACCAAAGACCTATTTGAAGTGTTAACATCATGAGGTAGATTAATATTTTTGCATAAATGCATTACCCATAAACCATACAAGTAGGTTGTAGTAGGCTTATACAAATAACAAACTTTTTAATCACTATGTAACTTATGCTTGAATTAAGTATTTTATTTTTATTTAAAACAAATATTTTGTATTTGTACATACACATATATCAATGCATAGGTGAGATTGAAATATGTTGTGTCCATTTTATTAAACAAAATAAAACAATAACAAATTAATGAAAAACTTAATGGGTAGTGTTTCATTACAGGAACATTTTTTTAACAAGTCATAATTGTAATTGAAAAGAAATAAAATGATGCCTGTTTACCTAATCTACACTTACAGCTTAATTCAGTTAATTGTAAGACATTATTTAATTATTTTAATACTATATATATATATATAAGTAAATTACATATGCACTTAGCAAAAATAAATATAATTTAATTATATATAAAATAATACTAAGAATTAAATGTGTCAATTTACATGTTTATATAATTAAAATAAAAATTTGTATTTACAATAGTTACAATTTTTATGTACACTTACTCTTATATTTAACAATTAAATATTATCAACATATCAGAGAAATAAATGTGTACATTTTAAGATTTAATAAAGAATTTTATGTATTATATATATATTTATGTAATACAATTTTAGATTTAAGTGAAAAACTCAAGGCTTCATTTACTTGTAACACTTTACACTGTACTCAATAAGCATCACTCTTTAGTTGAACAAATGATTATTAGCATAACCTAAGTACATTTTAGATTTGTGTAATAAAAATTTAGAACAATTTTATGTATTAATAAAGATATTGTTGTTAAATAAAGTAAAAGAACTTAAATAAGACATTTGAAAAATGAATATCCAAATATTTATTCGACTTCTTTATATCAGCCTCTTAAATTGGTGAATTTAATTTAAGCCAGTATGTATGTTAAAAATGTATGTTCAATTAAAACTAGAGCTTGATTAATAAAAAAAATAGACTTATAACAAAAAAAAAAAAATTATTTAAGAGCATTTTAATTTATATAAATTTATAACCAGGTTACAGCCAGACTTACAACAATATATTATAATAGCTCATTAAGAAAACAATACAAGACCTACAAGGTTAATATTTATATGGTAACGTCATCTTGGCCACTATTTAGACATAATATATGTAATTGGTAAAAAAACAGTACTCTATTAGATTAAAATGATTTTAGGTACTAACATACCGAAAAAAAATTGTAACATGAAAACTTACATGTTAAGTTTTAAAATAATGGTAAAAAACAAAAAAAAAAAAAAAAAATATTTAAAATTTATCCTATGTGCATAGTTTGAATATGTCTCATAAGTTCTTTTCTATCCTCAAATACTTCATCGCAAATATCACAAGAAATAGTTTCTGCATAAACAGGTGCCATTTCTTCGGTGCTTAATTCAATGTTTGCACCAACTTCCTCAACATAATCTGTATCAAATACAAGTTCAGTCTCAATCAAACAATCATCATTTGGAGCTTCTAATATTATATCTTCTTGTGCACCAACAAATTCACCATCATTCTGTATGTAATATTCTACTTGTCTTTGATCAGTATACTCAATATTACACAAAGCATCATAGTCATTTGTAACAAACTGTGGCTGCTCATTTGGCTCAACCTTGATATTTGATAAATCCATATCTTCTATAGATATTTGATCATCAGGATCATCTGGATTATCATTTTCTTTGGATTCTTCTCCAAATGATGATTCAATAGCTGCTGGATCTGATCTTGAGGAATAATATAAAACGGTCGGACATGTTCTTGCGCACTCACCATCTTTAAGAACAAAGCTCTGCTTTTTTGAAAAAGATTCAGATTTAATAATAGGGTATTTTGATTCACTTGACACTTGCTTAGGAGACTTTTGATCATGTTTTACCAGTTTACCATTAACAATCTTAAATGTTTTTACTGGAGACTTGCTGGGGCTAGTCACGGGACAATATGTTGTATCATCATCATCTTCCATAATTGACTGAACAGCTTGCTCTTCTACTGTAGGCATTAGTTCATCTTCACAACTCTCTGTATCAGATTGACCTGACAACACTGTAAAGACTTTTTCTACTAAACACCATGTATTTTTTCGATTACCCAATTTGCTACGGCGTTTATATTTTCGAGGTCCAACCTAAAATATAACATCACAAACTAAATTTAATCAATAATGTATTTAAAATATTTAATGAGTAATAAACTTACAGGAACAACTCTAGACTTTGCAGTATTTTCATCACTATGTTGCACTAAATGTGAACAAAGCTCCATAGAAGATCGAAACAAATAACCACATACTTTACACTCATAAAAATTTACTTGTCCTCCCCTTGCCTCAGTTCCAGCATGATGTGCTCGTATATGTTCACGCAATACAACCTGAAATAATGATACAATTAAAACTTAAGTGTAAATCTAGGGCTTTGGACTTACAGCACTTACAGTAAATAAAAGTTTAAAAACTTTAAAATAAGCAACAAAAAGCAAATAAAAGAAAACAACAAAGTAAATCTCAAAAATGTCTGAGTTTTCATTTTATTGTTTTCATTTCATATTCATAAGTATAAAGTATTAGTTTGTACAAGAGTAGACAAATGCATCAAAATAAACTAAAAAAAAAGTATTAACAGAATATAAATAATAAATCTTGGTTTTTACAATCTGATAGAGAATAAAAATACAATAAAGGAAAATCAAACACTTGAAAAAAGCTATTTGTTAAAAAAAAACTATTGACTCAAGCAAAAATAAGCACTTTGAAATTTCATACTTAAAATTGTTGTAACATGACCAAAGTTATAACAGCATTTGAAATTAGATTTAATGTTAGGCAAAAAAAATCAAAAGTAAATGCATGAAAAACCAAATCCTGAGCATAATACTCTAACAAAATTATTAATAAATAAACCTACTCTTTGATTAAAAGCTTTTGGACAAACAGGACAAGCATATGGTTTTTCTCCCGTGTGTATTCTTTCATGTTTTCTAAGTGTACCGCCATCAGCAAAAGCTTTATCACAATATCTGCATCCATAAGGTCGCTCACCTGTATGTATTCGTATGTGTATTTGTTGAGATGACCTAGATCCAAACACCTAAAATAAGTTGAAAAAAATTAAACTCTAGATAAATATACTAGTAACCACAAAACTATGATGTAATGGTGAATTTATTTTGATAAAATTATATGATATCTAACTAATTTATACCAATAATTTTTATATTTTCCATAAATAAAACTTATATACACATTGTAAATCACCATGAATAATTAAAAATATTTTTTTTTTACTTTTTCCAAGCTTTGTAGGCTTATCACTACTACCAATACAGTACTATTTATAATAATAAGAAATAATATTTTTAAGTTGAAAAATAAAAAAACCTGTAATAATTTTAACATAAATAAAAGACCAATATATAATAAAATATTGAAAATAATTACTTTTCCACAACTTGTACAAGGAAAAACTTTTTCAGTTAGAGAAGTTCGTGTAACACTAACAGTATTTGCATGACTTGCTTTATGATTCATTAGAGCTCGTTTATCAGCTACTTCTTCACCACATATATCACAAATAACTCCTTTTTCTCTATGAGTTATCATATGTCTAAAAAATAATAAACAATATTATATTTCTATGCAAAAGCTGACTTATAGAATCTTAATACAGTATAAAATGTATAAAATGAATTTCAGATTATTTATTTAATTGGAGTCCACTTTTAAAGATAAAAAATTATACTTAAAATAATTTATTATTATTATTGTAGAAAAAAAAACCATTAAAAAGGAAAAAAATATTCATGATTCATAACAAAATCATCATTAAATCTACACAACATTATCAAAATAATTAATAATCATACAAATTAAAACATATATCAATAAAGACAAATTACTATTTATTTAAATTCGTATGATGTATTTTACTTTCTTTATATACAATATAATAATTTATGTTCAAAATGAATAGTAAAATGAGTAATAATATATTGTTAGTAATTACCGTTTAAGTCTTGCTCTAGAATGAAATCTTTTACCACAGATTGTACATTTATTATCTGTTGTATCATGTATCATCAAATGTTTTTGGAGAGCTTTATCATCTTTACATTGTTTTCCACAAAGTTTGCATGAATATTCAGATAAAGTACCAGTATGTATCTGAGACACATGATCAGACAGTTCATCTGTGCTATCAAATGTTTCTCCACAAGCTAAACATTTTGATTTCTAAACAGTTAATAAAAAATATAATAGCTATAGTTACCTAAAAATAAGTTTTATATAAATACTTCTGGAATATTTGTAGGAACCAAATGTTGCTCAGTATGTAATTCTAACTCTGACATAGATTTAAAAAACAATCCACAATGAATACACATATGTGCCTCTTCATATACTTCTTCTTCAACATTTCCTAGTTCTTTTTTCATATGCTGCCTATAACAAAACATAATTATACTCGATTAAGTCAATTTTCAATGTTATATATTAAAATAAATATAAAAAATAAAATATAATAATTATTAAATCTGATAATTCACACACAATATTGATACAAACATTTTAAAATATATATTTTATTTTGATTTATTTGATAAACTTAACAAATTTTACTTTTGATTTTTTAAAATTTCAGTGAATCATTTTTTTTTTTTCAATATAACGATTACTAATATAGACATATAATTATTAACTCTCTATTAAGTAAAGACGTCAATAGACATTTTTTGTTATTATATCCCTTAAATTACAGACATTAAGTGACATATAACTGTAACTTCTATCTCTAACAACTTTTTAAGAATTTCTCGTTGTTATCAATATAAAAGTAATAAGGAAACATGTTCATGTTCTACACGTTGTGTAGAGAACCAAAATACTTTAAAATTTTATCCTGCTGATTTTCATCATAAATTAATACACATTATTTATGATTACATTACATATGATAAAGTGTATCTACTATTTTTGAAGTAATAAAACAAATAGTTTGGTAATATTGAAGCTGTTATTTTTATAATTTAAAATATGACCTACCTTTTCCAAGAGCAAATAAATTAGCTCATTCATATGCCGAAGCGGCCAACAAAGAAAGTGATTGATTATCAAATAGTGACATATCAGATTCTGAATTGGAAAATAAATTAAATATTAAAAAAAATAATATATAATATATTAAGCATGGACAGTTTTAATATGAAATATACAAAAAATAAATAAAATAAAAATGTCACTATTAGATAAAAAAAAGACATTGAATATTATTTTATCTTCATAAATGTCAATTAACATCCTTAAACTACTATAGTAATTCTTAATATTTTTCTAAAAATAAATTTAAAAACACTTTCAGAGTAATCCTTTAAATTACAATCCCACTCATTAAAGGGTTAAAATTCACACTTCATTTAAACACACCTTTGATGCCGTTTTAAAAAATCAAATCTAGTGAAAGCTGCTCCACATGAATCACATGAATATGTGACATCATTTTGTTGAGGGTTGGCCATTATAGTAAGCTCATAACTATCAGAATTTGTTTTCTGAGTAGTAATAATATTTACACCATCATCTATATGGTGCAGACGAGCATGATTAAGAAGTGCTTTTTCACGAGTAAATGAAATCCCGCATGGGTTACATGTATGCGGTTTGGAATATAATTCTGAATTCCAACCAAGCGTCAATAAACGATCTTTCATTGGACGTCCTTTTCCTCTACCTCTGCCACGTCCACGACCACGAGTTTTATTTTTTGTATTTTGTTCTTGATATGTGTCCCTTTTATCTTCAGAATTGTCACCAGGAGTGACACTTCTTCTTTGAATCGGATCCATAAACATTAATTTGTTCATAACTTTGGAAACAGATGAATTTTGACTATCTAAAAAATTGAACATTAACATTATAAAATTATTTTCCATATATTATTAGAAATTTTTAAACATTTAAGTCAACTATTATTACCTGTACCATTTTCTGATAAATTTTCAGGACCTATATGTATTTTCATATGATTAGCTAAATCACATTTACGTCGATAACGAACACCACATAAAGCACAACAAAAAGGTCGTTCTGACTGATGAGTAACCATATGATTCATAAGATGTGATTTTCGATTAAACCTTCGACTACAAAAATCACATGGATATGGACTAACAGAAGATGACACTTCTTCACCTTCAGGTATAGGTATATCAACATCTACTGTTGATGACATACATTCAACTTCTGTGTCTAGTATACTAAAATCATAAATATTTTATTAAATTAATCTAATTGCACTTCAATAACCAAAGTTGTTAATTAATGTTACTGAAAAATTAAAATACTACCTAATTAAATATTCTTGATACTAACATTTTAAATTAAAGCCAAATATTCATTCATGAACATGCATTTTACAGTATTTATATTTCATATATAATTTTTTTTTTTTTTTCAAATTATATTAAACAAATATTTTTCTGTTGATTAATGAATCACGTAAACAAGTAGTTGGACGCACAAAACAATATAAAACTTTAAATAGTTTTAAATAAAGTCTTAAAAATGATTAACAACATTTAAAAATTTTTTTGAAAGAAAATACTAATAAACAATTTTTAAAGTATTTTGAAATATAATTTTAATTTATAATGAGAACTAAAAATGAAAATCTAATTTTACTAAAATAAGATTTTATCATTTTTAAATACTATAAAAATGAAGTATAAAAAAATATATATATGAGGGAAAAACATAAACATGTGTCTGTAATTGGAACTTCTAAATAACATTGAATACTCTCAAAATGATAAAAAATAATGAACACAGAAAGTATTATTACTTTATGACCTAGTTTTAAAATCAAAGAAGAATAAAAAATTAAAAAAAACTATTAATTTAATAAATTGTTCGATATTAAGAACTGAAGAAATTGGAGAAAGTAAACTATATTATTAATAAATAGTTAATATGATATTAAAATAACAACTTACTTGTCAATATTAGTAGAACAATCAACATCCCAACTTTGTGTGATAACTTCTTGTTCAGGGCATTCTTGAACAACAACTTCTTCTTGAACATCAAAATATTCTTGAAATTCCTCCTGACTCAAATGTTGAACTTCTTCATCACTAGACTCGAACAAACTACTGGGATCAACTGATTCTTGCTTAATTCCTTGCACTTGATCCATTTCCTAAATATTTAAGGAATGTGTTAAAATATTAAAAAAAAATTTCCTAAGAATATAACTACCTTAAAGTTATCACTGAATGAAGATATGGCAGCTAAATATTGCAATCCATCAGCATATGGCACAGATTCCATAACTGCTCTAGTCATATTGTTGAACTCATTTTTGCGAGTACCACTACGTGTGAAATATGAAGACTCAATGGTTTGTACAATACAATTGTCAGATGACAAAGCATCATCAATGTCGACCGTATCGAAATATTCAGTCTTGACATTAGAGTTACCAACACCATCCGGACATAAAATATTATCCGTTCTATCGAAATCAAGCATTTGACTATCAGAATGGATGGACCCAATATCTTCCACAAAGTCACTGTCCATGGTAAAACAGGGTGATGATTAAGGGGAAATCTAAAAAGAAACATATCTGCCATCTAAATTTGAACAACTAGTGACGATCGTCCGTACGGTCAACAGTAGTAAAACTGTACTCAAATACTACCTATCTAACATAAAGAAAAATAAAGAAAAACACAGGGCAATTGACATTTGGTGTAATATTAGACACTGTCAATGATATATCTTGAAATGTAAGATAAAACGGACGTCGTCGGCTCGGGAGTATTAAACGAAAAAATGGAAGAGTGTGAATACACACTTTGCGTACAACCGGGAGTCGTCTCTTTTAACTCCAAAACAAAAACCCAGGGTAATAATGTATGTTACTTTACGTACATATTCCCAATTCCTATGTCGAATTTCGTGAGATCTGTAATGCTTTTATCCATAACGTCTATAACCTAAAAAATTCCGATTGCCGTCTTTTCCTCCATTATTATTTATTTTTCATGGTTAGTTTTTAATTATCGTTTTCCGTACGTACGCATACCAATGTATATGTACAATCGTGTTTACATGTCCCGTAGGTGGCAAAGGTTCAATACCTCGACCGTGTCCTGCCTAGTCAACGTCTAAAAGTTTGGAGTCGCGAACACGAACGTGCTCGAAAGTCGGCGAATTGCGCGAGCGGGATATTGGCTCGGCTGACGCGAATAGGGAACAAGGCGCGTTCATCATGGCGGACATGTTTAATGCGTAGAAAATTTCGTCCCTAACCTAATAAAATAACGACAAAAGTACTTACCAGCCTTGTATCGGATCAACGGGCAAGTGCCAAGTATCGTTATTCAGGGTAGTTTTTCGTCATGTAATATATATTTGAACGCGAAAATATCGATCATTAGCGTTACGACGCCATTTTACATGGATACATCGGACGGAATTCCTCTGTAGACCCTTCCCCCGCAACCGCACCATCGGTGGCGGCGGCGGCGGGAAGCGCGCGGTAATTTTGCTCATGGAACAAAGAATCAAAACGAAACGTCGACCGTGAATACGACCGACGTTCACCCAGCGCACACGACAGTTGACATTGCCCGTAGCCGCCGCAGAATGGCTCACGGTTACGTGACACGCGAGTCGTTACGGGGGCAGCTATGTGAATTCCGATGACGCTTCCCGTTGCCCACCGATATTTCTCGGAAACGGACGGCCAACCGATAAACCGTTACGTTTCGAAATCAAGATATCCAACGTTCCATTGGCCCTCTCCCTGGCGGTGGGGGGTGAATCGTTAAAATGGCTACCTTTGTCCGTGCTTGTGTCGAGCAGTCGAGCCTTCTTATTATTATTGTTGATTCATGACATAATACCTAACCACTGATAGTCTTATACCGTTGTACTATGTTATTACGATATTCGTATTTTGAATCCCTATCGCGATTCGAAATCGTGTAAACGTACGCAACAGTATCTCAACCAGTCAAAATCAACAATATCCGCGTGCAGTATAGAATTTTTTTCATCGCTTTTATTACCGAGTGACTTTTATTACCTAACAAACACCATCAATTTAGCTTCCCAATTCCCGTTCGATAAACCACCAAAATATGAGTTCCGTAAGTACAATACATTGTTGTTATTTGTTTTGCACAAAATGTGTCTTACTCGTACGTTCAATTTTTTAGATTTCAAATGTCGAAAACCTATCGCCGCAAACCATCCGCAGGATAGTTCGGGAACAAGAAGAATTAATTAAAGACCCACCAGAGGGTATACGAATTGTCATAAACGAATCCGATGTCACCAATATACAAGCGTTTATTGATGGTCCTGGTAAGTAATTTAACCTATGTAAACTATTTTGGGCATTATGTTAACATTGTTTTTCTCATGATGCACAGCTGGAACGCCATACGCTAGTGGTCGTTTCAACGTGAAATTAGTATTAGGCAAAGATTTTCCACATACACCACCTAAAGCATATTTCCTTACCAAAATTTTCCATCCAAATGTTGCTAGCAGTGGTGAAATATGTGTTAACACTTTGAAAAAAGATTGGAAACCAGATTTAGGAATAAAACATATTCTTCTTGTAAGTAAAACATTTGATAATATTTTAATTAAATACTATTATATCCATTTATTTTGTAGACAATAAAATGTTTATTAATTGTACCAAATGCTGAATCCGCTCTAAATGAAGAAGCCGGCAAACTTTTATTAGAAGAATATGACCAATATTTCCAAAGAGCACAAATGATTACTGAAATTCATGCACAGGTATGTTTTCCTTTTCAGATTCTTTAATATGATTCATTTTACTGATTTTAACTTTCAAGTTTAAATCATGTAATAATTTATTTGTTTTTATATAATATATTTTGAAATTTACTCTTAATTATACTTTAAAATGATTGTCCCTTAAACATTAGTTATATTTATACATTTTTTTTTTCTTTTGGAATGTTGTATAAATACAAATGTCATATTTGACTGATAATACAAGTTATTTATTTATTATAAATATTTTAGTCAAAATACTTGAAAATAAAATTAGAAATCTTAGTCATAAGTGTATCTTATTCCAACAAACATAATTTAATATAATATAATGAAATCAAAATATAATATAAAAATTTATATCTGAGATTAGTGTTTTACAGAAATATGATGTAACTAATTTTCAATGTACATCATTAAAATTAAGCTAATAACCCATTTGTATAAGTATTTACTTTAATTATTATATAAAGTAAAGATGTTTTGCTATAAATTCTTAATGAAAAGTACTAATCATTATTGTTGCCAACATTTGCAGGTACCAAAGAGTATGAAAATAGGGAGAGAAGATAATTCAAGTGATGGTCCATTAGCAAAAAAACATGCTGGTAGCAAATCATTAGACAAAAAGAAGATTTCCAAAGATAAAAAGAAAACGTTAAAAAGACTTTAGAGTGTACATTATTGTATTTATATGTGTATTATATTATAGTTTATATCCGGCGAAATTCATCAACTCTCATTATATTAGCCCATTGAATTACCACCAACTATTAAGTAGATTTTCCAATTATGTTTTTTTTTTGGTTTCTGTGTTAATAAATTTAAGATTTAATAATTTTGTGTAACTTAAAATGTTAAACCTGTTCATAACTTTAACTTGTAAATGTAAATAAAATAAAAAAATTTATTTATTATTAAAATATAAAAATAATGTTCTCAAATTAATATTTTTCATTTTTGTTATTTAAGGCTTCATAAAATATATAAGTATTCCTATCTTAATTAAATAGGCAATTGTATTTATTATGAGATTAAATGGATAAATAAAATAATTTAATTTGCAAACCTTATAATTGACTATATAATTGTTGAAAAAAATTAAATATATTGTTTATTATTTATGTGAATTAAATGATAGACTTCTTATCAACAAGTCAATGACTTCAACCCCATTCATTTAAAATCTCGACGTATTCACACCATATTCAAGAAAAATTAAGAAAAGAAATTTACAATGACAATTGTAAAATCCTATTTCTATAGTACCTCAACCCCCAACATCAAACATTTATATTATTTACTTTTACTATCTATTAAGCTATTAGTAGGACAATTCCCAGAATTTTTTTACCAATAGCTATGCCTACATAATTGTCAATTTGCTTTTAATATGAAAGAAAATTATTTACATACCTTAAGAAACATAAATAAAATTGAAAAAATAATATATACCAATTTATTTAAAACTACCTCTCCCTTGTCCACTTTTCTGGGCGTCCAAAAGTTTTACTTGAGATGGAATTATCTTGTGGGGTTCTTATTAGTACTGAGTGTAAACAATTTATTTTGTTTCTTGTTGGCTGCTATTATGTATTAGGTTAGTTGATTGTTTAAGGCTTATCTGTATACTAAGTTTGATGTTGTGCTATTGTCTAGTAGCAAAATGTAATGGTACTCGAGATAAGTTAACATATAACTGCCCATGGGAAAAAAATTTCTGCGGAATATAAACCCTATAAGGGTGATGGTCATAACGATTATATTGTTTCGCACACGGTTTTATATAAGACCGTGATTCCGCAACTCTGATTATCAATAGCTTTGTTCAGTAGCATCATTTGGAGAGGGACAAGGTGGGCATTTGCTCCTGTATGATCAAAAAGGATCCTAAAAGGCCGATCGTTGTCGCTTATGGCTATAAGCTGTTATTTGTGAAAAATCAAGCATATTTTTATAATTTTGAAAATACTGCGTAGGTACTAAATAATTGTTTATTACCACAATATTTGATAATTGCCAATTGGTATAAACTATAAATAGACACATGAGAATTTTACAAGAATAATAAATTTCTTTAATGAATTTAACCATCATTTGAGCAATTCTAGCAATGATATTTTTACTTGTAATATTTTCTTATCTTCCAGTCCTGATTTATTTCAAAAGTTCTTATTTATTGTCTTTCCTTAATCATTGTAGTCATTTTAAAAATGATAATTTAATACTTCAAACTGAATTCTTATCTACAAAAAACTTAACTTAATTAACTTAAATTATTCTAATAAAGATCGAGACGATGGAATTCATGATCTTTTTTCAATTTCTAAAATTTTAATTAAACTTTCTAAAGCTTTTACTGAAACTCTTAAAATTATAAATATTCTTTTAACTTTGTGTGTAACAACTGCTTCCAATGAATGTTTTTTTCTTTCCTTAAATTAATTAAAACCAACTATACGCTTGACAATGGGAAATGATCGGCTGAGTAATTTGTTGGTTATAGCTGTTGAAAGTGATACTGCTGCAAAAATTAATTTAAATGATGCAGTAGATGTATTTTCAAAAATGAAAAATGGAAGATATCCACTTTCAGCTTAGATTGATTTAGGATTAAGTTAGATTAAGTTAGAATAAATTAACCTTGTTTAGATAATGTTTATAAAATACAAAATTATATTTTACAAAAATTTAAGTTGTATAAAATATAACAAATAAAATATGTACCTTAAGTATAAGTTAAAACGTGTGAGCGAAACTCTTTATTTCCCCCGGTAGTATGGGCCGGTGAAAAATGTTGCCCCCCCCCCTATCAAAAACGGAAATAATGCCATTGGCCTTATACCATCACACATGTTAGGAGGGCTCAAGTTTATTAACAGCGTAATAGAAATGCCGAATTTTAACATAAGGTCGTGAGATTGTAGGCCAAAAGAGCTCAAAGAATTTAAAAAATCTAGAGGATAATTCTAAAGTAGGTATCAATTGTATTGCACACTATGTCAACTGATTTATACGGTATGCCTTGACCGGGAATTTTCTGTAAAATCAATTTATTTATTTCATTCGCTGTATCGTTTCTAGCTTTATCATTCATTAAAATAAATATCGTAATATACTTCTTGTGAATTCAGACAACGAGTTTACTTATCATCTGTGGAACCAAAAAGTGTTAACAAACAACATTAAGGATCACATTAAAATTAAATTGTGATATTTATATTACTTTTTTATATACATTACATACTGATTAAAAAAAAAAAAAATACTTCATAATTATTTATTTCCCAATAAAAATAATTTCTTATTAATCCTATAAAAATATACAAATTGAATTGACATTTGGGGGCTCGTAAAGCAATGTTGAGAGGTCAAGGGATACATGAATGAAAAAAAGGATAAGAAACGCTGAATTAGATAACTGATATATACATTTTACAGGACAGATGAAAAAAAATGAATTAAAAACGATAATTTTAAATATATTTGTAATAAAAGTCAATTATATGAATGTATAAGTAAGTAGTAAATAAATATAAAGTAAATAAAATAAATAATATGTTGGTATGTATATTTAAAAAGTTCGTTTCACGTTCAAACAGTCTTTTTTGATTATCTATCAAGACTCTGATCCCGAGATTGACGTAAAAACAAAGTTTAACTGTTAATATAAATCGTATTCGAAGAAAACGATTTATTACCATTTTTGTAATTTCTTAAAATGCTATTTGCTAATTTATTATAAAATAATATTGTAAGATTCTGCCATAAATGTCTATCACCGGTTTTTTGGAAGCCGTTTCTTATCCAATTACTTTTGCAGTCTCTGTGTGTGAGTGTAAGATAATTTTACACTTAAAAAACTGAAATAAAATTTACGCCAAATAAAATAAAAATAAGACTAATTTGTTAAGTTATTTCCCTGCAGTCTTCTTAAGAATTACAAAAAACTGACAAAAGAAACCAAACACTGTCAAAATATACCACCTGATCCAGTACTCAACATCGTTAATTCAAGAGCATTGGTACATTGGTTTCAAGTTAAAAGATCAACATAGTAGTATAATTCATTCGTCCCTGTATCAAATCTAACTTCTCATCAAAAAAAATTTTCGTAATTTTTAAACTTAAATATACATTATAATCAATAAATACATACAACCCAATCCTAAATTATAATACATTCAAATCTATGTAATTATTTACATTACGTATCTCTAACATTTCAATAAATTCAATAATATAATAAAATTCAGTTTAATCTCTAGGCTAGATAGAATACTAATGATAAAATAATATATAACGTTTATCTTTTACATATTTATAGTTAGTCATTATTGTGTACAAAAAAAGCACATCACCACTCTATTTTTTAATACATTTAAGTTATTCATACCAATTGAATACAAAAACTTGTATATGGTATTATTTATGAGGATTGCAAATGATCAGTTTTAAGGGGTTTAGTATAGGCAATAATTTTAGAACTTCCATTTAAGCCTTACATGTTTATGAGTAATAAGAAATCATTAGTGGGGATCGCATCACATGTATTTTTCGTACGTTTTTGACCAATAAGCGGTGTTAAATTACACATACAGTAAAACCTCGATATGACGGAACTTCGGTAAGATGGAAACCTCGGTATAACGGAACATTATTTTGATCCCGTTTCAAATTACATGCAATTAACTATCATCGTCAAAACGGAAACCCCGAAAAAATATCATGGTCCCAATCGATTTCGTCTTATCGAGATTTTACTGTACTTACAAATTTCCGATTTCAATTTTTAATACATCCATGAATTCTTTAACAAAATATCTAGGTTTTCTAGGAGGCCGATTTTCAATTTTAAAGGACCTTAAAATTAAGATATTTTTTTTAAAAATCTCATGAAATTATTGCATTATTTATATTTATTTTGGACATATCTAGTTTTAAATCAAAAAAAATGATTCCTATAAAGCATAGTCAAGAAGTTTACGAATTCAATCTTTTTTTCGAAATTACAATCGAAGTTCAGGAAGTATGTTTAATTCACTACTGCTTTTAGTAGTTTAAGAGTAAAAGAATATAAAAAAACAAACACCCCTCTCCCCAGATAAAAATTGTATCTATGCCACTACTCATTTTAAACAAAGCGGCTCCTCAGTCACATTTAAAAATGAAAAATATTGAACTTGTGTTTTTTTCTACCTAATATGACATCTCATTGCCAACCACTTGACCAAGGAGTAATCCGTCAGTTTAAGAAGTTATATCGTACGCAATTGTCGATTTGAATGACAATTCAAGTTAACCTATCAACGTGTTGGATGTAATTTACTGGATGTCTTCATTTACAGAAAATATTCAACCCGAAACAGTGAAGAAATGCTTTTTGCGGTTTGGCTTTAGGCACCGTGATAACAACGTTACAGACGTTGATGATCTACTTACACCAATAGAAGAACTTGGCAATCTTATTAAGGTGATTGACAATAAAATTACGGAAAATGACTACATAACACTAGACGATTGCATAGACTTAGGATGCTGATATCGAAAATTCATCTGATAGTATGGATATGTCTACACAAAATGAAGAAGAAAATGATGGGTCCGAAGATCAAGAAATTCCAAAAATAAGAAGTCTACGAGAGGTATTGGTAGCAATAAAAAACATACATAAATATTTCTTCTATCGAGGTACAGAATAGTTCATTGTTCTCTAACACAGTCCAATTAGAAAATGCCTTAACATATGAAAAAACTACGCCTGCAATTAGTAAACAAACTTAAGTAACAGATTTTTATCAGAAATGTTAGTTTTTATTTTTTCAAGATGTATTTAATTAATGTAAAAATAATATAAAATTAAATTATTGAATTTATTTATTTATTAAAAAAAATGTTTTCCTCTAAATAGCGGATAAAATTTCGGCGACCGAGAGTTCTGCTATTCAGAGGTTTCACTTCATTTCATTTTCGACATTTATTGATATGTGTGCGCGAGTACGAGAGTTGCTTTCATCTGCAACTCAACACATGTACAGTCATCTTCCTCTCTATAATGGCCGGGTTGTTTTATTTCTAATTAATAATTTTAAAATAATATTGTTTATCTGTATTCTGTAATCCTGTTATAGCCAGAGACAATACAGTCGATCAGTATATATAAGACAGGCAGACTCCTTTATCAATTCAAACATCTTTACATTTGTTAAATTGAATCACTACAAATACAATTTTTATCAGTCGCTAAAGTTGTTTTGATGAAAAATTAAAAGGGTTTGCCTCAACTAATGAAACACTATCAATGATTACTTTATAAATTTAAATTTAAACATTACTTGATTTGTTTTAGTCTTTAGTAAAACCATTGATACTAGTATTTATAATCAATGATAAAACATAACAAATTAAACTATTTAGATTTCTTTAGTTGTAGTATTCCACATGAATACATTTGTAATTGTCTTGAATATAAAATTGACTATTTTATTAATATGATTCATTAACAATTTTAAAAACTGATATTGAATTTTCTTTTTCACATGTAAATAATATTTTGGGAAAGAAAGTAACTGAAAACATTCATCAATTTAAATTTCAAAAATTAACTAGTAAGTATTAAAAAGTATTTCATATATAGTACAAAGAAAAAACAATTTGGCATATTTATATATAATATAAAAAAAAAAAAAAATTAAATTTAGGTATACCACCCAATTTATTACAATAGAAAAATGTATCTCATTCAAAATTTAAGGGGTAAAATTTACAAATTGGAAAGTAATTCAATTATATGAGTATAATTACAGGTCAAAATTACTATCAACCTATCAAGAAATTATCAAGTCATCTGACAAATAACTTAGTAACACTGTTTGAACTGTCGAACACTAGTTTACTTAAAAATATTAGAAAAGTCAAAAATATAAACATGAAATCAATTATTCTTGCTTTTAATAAAGCTATCAAGTTGTGCATCTAATTCATCTTTGTTTGGCATTTTTTTTTCGCTGTTCCTGCCACCTCTACCACCACGTCCTCTGGAGTTACCACGGGTATTTCCACGTTTGCCCCGGTTACCTCTCACCCCTAAAAAAAAGAGAAGAATTTGAATTATAACTATTATAATTTAATTTAAAATATATGAATAAATATATACAGAATACAAAATAAGAACATACCACCACGAATACCTCGTACAGGCAATGGTGCTGGTCTACTGAGACGAGTAGCAAGGTTGGCAACAGTTGACAAATCAGTCGCAAGTTCAATTTTCATAGGGCGACCTTAAATAATCAATAAAATTAATTAACAATAACATTATAAAATATTTAAAATACATACCATCAAGCGGTACATTATTATATTGACGTACTGCTTTTAATGCAGCATTTTTACTGTCAAATACAACATCAGCTGTTCCCAATGATCTACCAGATCTATCATAGTGAACTGTTGCAGTTTTCAATGGACCAAACTCATCAAATAGCTCCTGTAAAAAAAAAATATACATATTTAAACTAATATATAACACACAAATTAATCAAATTATAACATCCAAGCCAACACAAAACATTCATTCACAAGACAAAAGTTAAAATATTCTTAAATCCAGAAATTTATCAAGGAATATACAAGTATAGATTACTTTTTAAAAGTCACAAGTTACTGAGAAGAATTGACAGCAGCAATTTGTTTTAAACCATAGAGTAATATCATTACTTTGTAATAATCAATGCACTGTATAGCTTCAGAAGACCAATTGTTTTTAAGACGATGAAAATGTTGAGGATGTTACTTAAAAAATATTCATAGAAAATTGTTTTCTCTTAATTTATAATCTGGCTAGGACTGCTTACAAATTCTTGCAAATTATCTTCTTAAAATTATTGCAGCATCTTCTCAAATACATCTTCCATATAACTTATCTTTGTTTGGTTGTATTTATTTGAATAATAGATTTTCTTATTTTCAATGTGTAATGTTTGTATTTGTTTCAGTAAAAACATGTTTCAACACAAAATTCTTCTTCAGATAATTATATTTTAATGAATGAATAATCCTTTGGGGTTTTTTTTTAAATACTTATTTTCATCATATATTATTTATACATGATATAATTAATTTTAATCCATAACGATTATATAAATTGTTATAATTGATATTATATTTAAATCTTCATTCCTTGAACATAACAATACAGTATCTTCTTTGTGATGATCTTAAAATGTCCGTAGTTTCTTTTTCATTGTTTTAGTACATTTATTAAATACAATATATGAAAGAATTAAAGGGTGCACACCATAGAAGACCATTGAATTTAAGGACAAAGACAACAAAAACCAACAATATCTCTTCAAGATATTAATAATCAAGAATATCACACAATAATCAATAATTATTGAATTCCCAATAATTTTATTTTCATACCTCAAGTACCACAAAGTTATTTAAATAAAACATTACAGTTCAAAAATGAATGCTCAGAAATTAGTATTTCATTCATGGACATATAATTCAACATAACTATTTTACAGAATGATTTATCCAATAAAAAGTAAGTTTTTAATTTAAAAAAAATTAGCCTAATGGGATTTACTTAGCAAGAGCACATATTTTACAATTGTGTTAATATCAACAGGTACACCAAATGTATAATTTTGAATGTATATATCCATTGATGACAAATATTAGTGTTTAAAGATGTAGATGTATATGTTGTTTTGTAATCTTCTGAGTTCTGCTGTAGATTGAATAATAAACGTGGTTGATGTAGTATTGATTGTTATTTGTTTCTTAAACTTCCCAATTGATGCAAATGAGACACTTTCATAATGAAAAATAAATTGCTACAAATGGTGTACCCATAAAATTTAATTTTCAAACACAATGTGCATTACTTAGATAGTTATCAATTATTCAATGAAGCACTTGTGACTAACATAGTAGCTTAAGACATAATAATAAATGTAATGCTATGGAAAATGTCAAGCTCACCAACTCAGAAATGAGTTACTATGTAGTCAGAGGCTTATACTGAATACTGTTCCCAGAATAAAATTTAGGCAAGAAAAAAAAATTTTTTTTCTTAATAGAGTTGTAGTGATAACCGAATTCTTTTGTAATAATTTATCTTGAGTAGCCAGGTATAGAAATTAGAAAGAGAAAACATAGTCCATGGGTCGTTCTTGGACGGCTGTTAACACAAATGAAACCCAGACCTTGAGCCATAAGCGGATCTAACATGTGGCGAACATTCTATCTAGGTATCTTCAAGCTGCAATCGGCTGAAGATGCCTGGAAAAATAATGTTATCTATTTTATTTCACATTAATAATAAAATGAAACCTAGTTTTGTTCAGTAAAACACATTTCAGGAAATCTATCAACTTCTATTTTAACTTATCAACATAAAATAGTTTTATTTATATTTTGATGAATTGAAAAATTAATATACCAGAAGTTTTTTATAGCATATACTTATAATTGATTAACAATTAATATAATATTTCAATAATAAAATTCTTTTTCTTCTATTTAAAACGTCTTGTTCACTTACTCAAACACTATTATAGACAATGATACTAGAAAATATATATTATTAAAATTATTATACAGTTATTTTGTTTTTAGTATTTCATACTAAAAGACATTTTTCCTAAAGAGTAAATAAGTTTCATATTTAATTATAAATGAATATGGAGACATAAAATTTAAAAAATTTATAAAAAATAAACCCTATTAATATGAATATTTATGTTTTTGATTAAAATAAACTTTGGTTGGTAGTTTCATTGGCTTTTTATAGTGTTATTTATTGAGTTTATAGAACTAAGATATATTGTAATTGACTATACCTTAACATAGATATTAATATAAGAAAGTAAATACTTGTATTAGATCTAAAATTATCAACACTTATGTAAAACAGACATTAATAAGTGTTAATAGTATAAAAAGACATTAATTTAAAAATTCCTAAAATTTTTATTCAAACCTGTATATCTGTAGATGTAACTCCAAAGTCCAAGTTTGATATAACAATTTTATGAATATTAGTAGTTGAGAGACCACCTCTAATTTGCTGTCTTTTAGGCCCTTCATACATATCATGAGTCCACGATGCATTTACATCGCCCTAAATAAAAAAAATTAAAATATTAAAATATAAAAATAAAATTATATATTTTTTTATAATATAAAATTCATAAACATGGTATCTATATTAAATATGTACTACTGAACCTATTCGTTAATTTAAATTAACATAATGTATTAATAACAACATTTAATATAACAAACAATTATATACAATACATATGTTCACATTTATGAACATACTTATAATATAGTTTATTGTTGGTCCTCACAATGCTACTAGTAAATACATTAAAAGTCTTGATCAATTTAAGGATAAAAAAGTAATAGTCATAAGTAGGCTATGGACTTCTAGCATTTGCATACTTTTTTTAACTATTGTTAAATATAGCAGTGTGCGAAATAAATTTGTTTCTCAGTGCCATGATATCAGATCTAAAATTTGAATTCGCATATTTTTACATATTTGATAGATTTTGCAGGAAAGTGCACATTTTAAAATTGTTATGCTTATTTTGCATATTTAGACAAATTTTTTAAATTTAAAATTAAAAACTATAGATACATATTTCAACCAATCAAAAAGAAAAAATGTACTAAGAGGACTTAATACTTCCAGAAATATATGCTATCTGCAAACTACCTCTCATATATTATTATAATTTTTGTGCAAGTATAAATAATACTATAAACCCGTATCGACCGTATGTCGATAAAGATAATAGTCAATATAGAATAATAAATTGTTTGTTAAGTGTTCAGTTCAGTCGATTATTATCTGTCATTGTTTTTGCGTCTCGCAACCACACAACATGAATCATAAGAGTATTTTGTAACATTGTGTTATGCCGACAATAGTATACGAGTAGCAGACTACAAAGTTTTATTTCGGAATTTAAAGATACATCACATCCGATGAACACGTTTTATTTTGTGTACTATGTAGTCATTTTATTTTATTTATTTTTTTTTTTTTAATGCGTATAAATGCATATTATAATGCATATTTTGATGATTATAGAAACATATTTGCATACATATTTGTGTATTTTTTAGAGCTATAAGTCCCTATGCCTAGTCATAAGTATAAATTGACCATTGTTTTGGAGGCAATTTTCTTTTTAATTCATTGATTTTACAAAAGAATATAAAAATTTAGAACAAACAACTTGTTATGAACTGTATAACTTATAAATTAGTTACCCAATTTTATTATAGTTTGATACTAAATAGAAAAAGAACATATTAAAAAAATAAATAATAGGTACACAGATAATCAATTAATTACAAGGATGGTAATATATAATAGTAATTAACCTAACAGAATAGACATTCATGATTATCAATAATATTTTTAATTATTTTATAAGTTATAAATGTAGAACCTATTTTATATAAAAATTCCTTCAAAAATTCATTAAGTTGAATTTTCATCAACATTGTTATAAACCTTGGTCAAAAGATAATCATCAATTTTAACAAATCATTTGTAATTAAAATATATATTGTATCACTATATTTATATAAGTATGAATCTTCTATAAATATAATAATGAACAATAATTTATATAATTACATAGGGATTGTGTAAAAGTACGGTTTCCAAGCTATAATAGACTGCAACAATCGTACAATTCAATGTTATTTAAATAAATACCCTAGCATAGTTTCTAATGTGATTGACGTATGGATGTGAACAATAGTTATCACGACTGTCAATTACACTGGTCTAGGACTAATCACACTGTGCTCAAATTTTAATTTTTTTTTAGTTTTACAATGTCAATGTAAATACATAAAAATTGTTCAAAATTTAAATAGAAAAACTAAATTTTTTGTTTATTGTATTTTAAGTGTCCATAAATTAACACTTCAAAAGAACATTTTTTTCATAGTTAGGTATATTTTATTAACTGAATTTCTACTAAAAGATTATTTTGTAATTCATCTTCTTACTATTTTTCCAATAACGGTTGAATAATTTGGTTACTATTAATGATCATTTATTCCATCTTAGTAGTCTTAGTATAGTGCTGATTAATAGCATGAAGTATGTAGTTATTAATTTAAATTATTTATGTTTATACAAATATAGTTAAATAAATTATTAAATACGTCTGAACATTGCACTATTGGAAACCCATTTAACTTAACGCTGTAATGCTGTGTTTTACATAACACATTAAAAACAAGATAATATACAATGGCCAGTTGTTGCAACCAGCTACAGCTTGTAAACTGTACCTTAAGATGATATCTGCCTTCCAAGAGTCATGAGTAGATATCTATAAAAAAGTATTATTCTAAAAATAGAAATTCTAGATTAGGAAGGCCTGATCAAAGTTAGCACGAATTTTGCTAAAGATTCAAATAGCAAACAAGTATTAATTAAGGAAGGGGTTCAAATACTAGTTACTGCAATAAAAATAATTTTTTACAACTTTTAACGGATAATCCGTAATACTGAAGAACCAAACTCGACAAAGCCAAATTTAAATTACAGAATTTTCACAAATGGTAGTCACGTTTATTCACGTGTTTTTCACCTTCGAGTAAGGAGTAAATCCATTGGATCGCCTTGCCATGGATCTGCCCCTGCGCATAGGACCACCACCGCTTCCACCAGCTCCATTTGATCGGAAATTTGATGTTCCGCCACCGCGTTTACCACCACTGAATCCTCTGGAGCCGCCTTGTCTTCCACCCCCACGGCGTCCTCCGCGGGATGACGACCTTTTGTTCTTGATTAATTCGTCCAAACTTACGTCCATTGTGAAAAAATATAAAATTCCAAATCACAGATTCACAAACAGATCGTATGACGTTTGAATATGTAGGATATGGCAGATTCAGAAACGAAAACGTACGAGAACACGTTAGGAAAGCGTTAAACACAAAAATGGCCGGCATTCACAAAAAAAAACGAAATGTATTATGATCGCATTACACTACGTTCTCTATAGATACACTAAACGACGAGTGGGAGAGAAATAAACAAACATCCGGAACGTTTTGCGTTGGCTACACTGATCAAATTGGCGGTAATCATTTGTTCAACACAATTACATTTGTAATCGTAGAATGAAATTGATACAAATTTTATTATTCTCTTTAATAGTTTCCAAATTTGTTGTTGTGGTCATGAGCACAACTAGGGTTTTATTTTTTTCTTCTGATATCATTTTGGTATATGATTTATTTTTTAATTTTAATTGTACTATTATGTAAAAGATAGATAAATATTTGAAGGGACTAGACAAATATTTAGAGGAGCTAAGCCCCTCGCCCTCGCCTGATTGCTTTTATTGTGGAAGTCGTTTCGTTCGGATGGTTGACATACATTAATGGATGATACCAGAACATTACAGTTTTTGCGATGGAAGAGTCTATAATTGAAACAGGTTAGGTTGTAGGTTATTTTTAGGTTTTTTTTTTTTTAAATTACTTTTCCACAATTTTTTACGTGTATTTAACAAATATAATAAAAGAAGTTCATCAAATACATCATTAGAATCTGATTCAGAAATTAAATTTATTAAATTGTTTGCTATAATTTCACTCATGACTGGGTGAATGGTGACACGGAACTGCGTAGTAATATTACGCTCACATAGGTCATACAGTTTTTCCTGCGCTGCGTCTCCTGTGTCTCAATATGCACCCGGCTTAAAACTAGTTAAAGTGCCCGTTGCTGACGGGTTACAGTAAAAAGATATTAAATTGTTGAATAATTTTATATATATAAATAAATACAAAAGATGTATACATCGTTAGAATAATGTGCAATTAATGTATAGGAAAAACATAAAATGGAAAATAATTTAATTTCTTAAGTTTTAATTACATTTATAAAATATTTATACACGGGAAAAACTGTTAATATTTAACAAAAAAAAAAAAAAATGATAAAAAAATTAATTTCAACGAATGTGTGTATTATTATTATAGAATTTCTTTATAAACTATATTCATTGTATCTTTTTTGTTGTTTAGTATTATTTGTAATTTAACTTTTCAAAAGATCTAACTATGGATATGACAACATAAAGTTGACCATAACTAAATAAAGGTTGGAGTAGAATCCTACTTTATCCAATATTTGAACCTGTGCTTTGTTTATTGTCATGGCAAAAACTATTCTTATTAGAAATTGACGTCTGGTAAATGAAGAAGGAAGAGTAGAATATGACGGGGTTAAATTAATTCCAGGCAATAATATACCCTGACCATTTCCTTGGCCAGTTATAGATTCCAAGTTTGAATAATGATCGTACATATTTCGTACAATAAATCTTGTACCATTCATTAGATTGGACACTACATTTAAATTTCTCAAGAGTATTCCAATAGTAACTTGCTTTAGTACCAAACTGTGTGGAGGTAAACCACTTAAATGTAAACTATTTAAAAATTGTGTAGGAAACAGAAAATCGTCACATTCTTTTGACACTGTGTATAAATTTAAAATTGTTTTTTCTTGCCCTAATAACAAATTGACAGTTGCATTATTTATTTCATCACAGTATTAATTTTTTGGAGCAAGAATACCAAATTGTAAAAAAATAGATACATTTTTAAAATTAAAAATAAAATTTCCAAATACGTCTTTTATTATATCACTTGATAATAACAATCAGGGGCGTATTTAAGGGGGGACCGAGAGGGCCAGAGCCCCCTCCGAAATGAAAAACACCATTGTTAAAGACTGTAATTTTTAACATCGATATGTTTTAATGCTGAGGGTTTTCGAAAATTTGTCGCGACACTGAGAATGTTGCCTATGCGATAATTTAATATTTTATTTTTATAAATTATGTTTATTCCTTTAAGAAAATATGTGATGAATTTTGAGTGCTCTAATAAAAAAATTGTTTATAACTATATAGTTTTTATACTTTTAAAAAATTATAAATCATTAAATAAATTGAGTTTCTTATTTCTCTGATGGTGTAAAGACAGTCGAGAAGTCTTATAATGTTAAAGTAATTTTTGTCGTAATAGTGTGCTTCCTCTTTCTTTTCCCTCCGAAAACCAAATACACAATCGGCCCCCTCCGAAATAAAAAAACTTATATGTGCGACTGATAACGATGGTTTTATTTCAATTGAATATTCGCCCGAATCAGGATTTATTAGTGGGTATTCACCATTTCCAATTTGTATCAAAAACTTTGAAAATTCAATTTCATTTTGATTTACTCGCATATTTCTAAATAGTTAATAATTTTAAAATGTGGTCACATTGGAGTATATTTTATACAGTTTTGTATTGTAAACTGTCTAGAACCATGGGGGATAACTGGTAAAACTTGTCTAAAATCTTCTCCCAAGACAATAACTTTCTCATCAAAGGAAACATTGTTTTCCATTATATCTTTTAATAATCAATTAACAAGCATTAGCGCATATGCTTATGCCACAGTCGCTTCGTCATAAATAGCTTGATTTTCGAATAGCTCATGTCTCTTTGCTATTAATACAATCTTCAATGACGAAACTGAAGTATCTGTCAAATTCAAAGGTAATTTAAATCGACTATGTAATGTGCAACTTCCGGGTAACAACATTGCTGCTATTCCAGCCCAAGCAATCGGAATTACATCATAACCCATTTCTATACAATTGTTAATGAGACATTTGTAGACAAATGTTTTCCCTTTACCACCAGTAAACAAATATGCGGTAGGATAAATAAAATAAAACATGCGGTAGGAACATAGGCGCAATTAGAGCCCAAATATTGGGGTTGCTGAAATTACATAACTTGCACTAACCCGTGAGAGGCTACGCCAACACTTACTCTCCCCCAAGTACCTTATCTCAATTTAATCATTAAATGTATCATAACAACACACATACACAAATATTTTAATTTATAAATATTAACAAGTATAAATTGTAACATACCTATTTATTTCATTATATTATTTTATACATATTTATACATTTTATATATAACAGCACTAAGAAATAAACAAATTAAAAAAATATTATACAATATACAACGTATAATATTTATACTGGTATTATCTTGCAATGACTAGTGAAATATTTTTCAAGTAATTTTGATCATGTAATTAACTAATAGTCATGAACAATTCATTTTTCTGATAAAAGGATCAAATAAAAATAACTATATGAAATAAGAAGAACACTATTTTTTCACACAATTTTTCAATTATTAATTTTTTAACTGGAGGTGCTAAATTATAGCCCGGGGGGTACTATAGCACCCCCCGAGCACTCCCCTAGTTGCGCCTATGGGTAGGAACTCTTGTATTTTCAAGACTCACACATTTCATAATTGTATTTATAATATCACGTTGTTCTTGATTTGCGCTATCAATTAAATCACGTTGAATAGGTAATTGTAATGTATCTTGTTGATTTGATTCGATATTTATTATAGCAGCATTATATTCGAGTAAACCAATTGATGTCAATGACTCCCCATCAGTGGCGTGTCATACATGTGTGCAATGTGTGCAAATGCCACGGGCCCTCGGCCCGTGGGGCCGTGGGGGGCCCATTATTGATCAATGTTCCTCAAAAAAAAAGAATTAAATAAATACAGTTAATATGTACGAAAAAGTAAAAAAATTGTTTTCAATTTTAAAAGATTTTCATTTTCTCAAATCTGATATCATTGTTATAATCTATAAAATATATAGATATTGTATTTCTGTGATGTACCTACTGTATTTCTGTGACGGCGACTAAACGTTATTTATAGCAATCTGTTTCCCGTGGTTTTTCGTTATCGCCTTGTCGATTTTGCTTATCCATATTATTTTTATTTTTATTTTTTTTGTATTATGTATACCGGTACACGTATAATATAGACGTCTATGACATGAATTTACGCGATTAAATATTATTGTATTACTTTTGTTGTATTATTTTGTGATAGTGCGATACTCAGTCTTGTTCTTTATCGTCGTTCAGTGTCTATTGAAATAATTTACAAAAAACTCAATAAAATATTGTATTTTATTAATTACTATTATAATGGCATCAAAATCTGCCAGTGGTGCTGCGAAACGCAAAATAAAAAAAACAAAGAGAAGAATCTGTTAAGCGGATGCCGAAAATTGACACATATTTCAAACAAAACCACGAAGAAACAGAAGAGCAAGATATTGATAACCCAGGTATTTTATTAAATAAAATTAAAACTGCCAGTAATTCCGTCTCAGAACCAACTGCAACATCTAGTATTGACACTATTAATACTAAAAATGTTGAACCTAATATATTTAACAGTTTAATCTGTGAACGTTTTCCTACTGACAAAGTTCATTTTAAAGAACCACTCAGTTACCAAGAAAAACGTTTTATAATTTCTCAAGGCCCTTGTCAACCTAAGGGTCCATTTCCAACTGACAGTGATAATTCTAGATCATTTTCAGAAAAATTTTACTATTTTACAAATCAGGCTAATATTACTTTAAAACGTGTATGGCTATGTTACTCATTAACTTTAAATAAAATATATTGTCAATGCTGCTGGTTGTTTTCTATACAAGATAGAATTAGTTCATCTTGGGTTACGGGAAATAATGATTGGAGACATCTAACTCAAAATATTAAACGCCATGATAATTCAAATGATCATATTCAATGTTGTATTGTATTTGCGCCTAAATAAAACTATTTCCGAGGAAATGGAATTATCTATTCAAAATGAATGTAACTTTTGGAGACAAGTATTAGATCGGGTTATAAATGTCACATTAACATTAGCTACATCCAACTTGTCTTTTAGAGGTCACCGAGAAACAGACTTGAGTAAAAATAAAGGCAATTTTTTATCAATAATTACCCTTATTTCAAAATATGATCCCATATTAGAAAATCTATTGAGTATGCCAGTTGGTAAGGGTACAGCAAATTATTTAAGTAACACTATTCAAAATGAGATTATTACTTTACTCGCAAATACGATATTAGAACAAATTATTTTAAGTATTAACCGATCACCATTTTTTTCTGTCATAATGGATACTACTCAAGACATTAGTAAGATTGATCAACTAAGTCAAGTTATTCGATACGTTTCGGTTATTTCAGACTCTGATGGTAATCCTAAGACATTGCAAATAAATGAATCATTTATTGGCTTTGTAGAAATTGTTGACCAATCAAGTGCTGGTTTAGAAGAATCTATTATTAATTGTATTACAAAAAATAATTTAAATTTGTCAAAACTTCGTGGTCAAGGGTATGATGGGGCTGCCAACATGAGTGGTGTATATTCAGGTGTCCAGGCTAGGTTAAAATCTAAACAAAAATTGGCTACATATATCCATTGTGCTTCACATAATTTGAACTTAGTTCTAAACGATGCAATGAATTCATCAACGGAAGTAAAAACTTTCTTTGGACTTGTGGAAAAAATTTATACATTTTTTTCAAATAGTATTAAACGTTGGCAATTACTTTTATCTTCAGAATCATCAGATATTTCAATTACATTAAAAAGATTATGTACCACTCGTTGGTCATCAAGGTATGATTCTTTATTAGCTATTCGACATCGTTACGTTGATATTTTAAAATGTTTATCGCAAATAATTCTTAGAAGCAAAAATAAGGACGAAATATTTGAAGCAAATTATTTAAAAGTTCATATGGAAGATTTTCAATTTATATTCAGTGTAATTTTCATTGGCAAAATTCTGGAAACTGTAAATGTTGTATCAAAAGCTCTTCAGTCTCCTAAACAAGAACTGAGCACAGTAGTTTCTTTGCTGAATTCTGCGTTGATAAAACTCCAAGAATATAGGTCACAATACAGTGATTTTTTCGAAATAGCAGTAGAAATCGCAAAAAAATGGGGTGTACCACAAAAATTTCAAGAAAAAAGAACCCGAAGAGTAAAACGATTTTATGACGAAATCCTCCAAGATTATTGTTTTACTTCAGCAGAATAACATTTTAAAATAAATATATTTTATTTAACATTGGATAATGCAATAATACAATTAGAAAAACGTTTTACCAGTTTAAATAACGTATTCAAAATATTTGAAGTTATTCAACCGAATTCGTTAATTAATTTAACAGACGAACAAATTTATAACTCCGCTAATAAATTGGTAGAATATTATGATTCTGATTTATCTAATGCTCTTGCTGGTCAAATTTTATCGTTCAGATTTTGTTTTAAAGAAGAAATTACAAAACGAACATCGGTAAAAGCAATTACTGAATTACTTGTAATAGAGAACCCCACATTAGCAACAACATTTTCTGAAATATGTACAGCATGTATGTTATTTTTGACACTCCCTGTGACAGTTGCTACAGCGGAACGTTCATTTTCAAAATTAAAATTAATCAAAAATTATTTACGGAGCACAATGTGTGAAGAAAGATTAAGTGGACTTGGAATTTTATCTATTGAAAATGATCGAGCTCGTCAATTAAATTTAAAAGAAATAATTAATAATTTTACAGAAAAAAAAGCACGCAAACGAAATTTCCATTGAATTATTATTATTTTAGTTTTATCGTTATTTATAGAATATGTTATTTTATTTGTATGGAATTTCATCTTATTTTATATGTAATTAAAATTTTAATAAAAATAGAAAGTACCTGTGTAATTGCATAAGATTTTAGAATTTTAGAAAAAAAAAACTCTTACTTTAAATTTGAATTTATGTATCTATGTCTAAATATTATTTAGAATAAAAAGTTGAAGGGGGGGGGCCTTTTTTTGGTTCTGCACACAGGCCCATCTTTGGGATAAACCGCCACTGCTCCCCATGCAATTTTAATGTTGCTGAAATATCTGATAAAGTTTTTTCATAAGTAATAGTGGCATTAATACAAAGTGTTCACTCATTGCATGTTTAAACGTTTCCCATAAAACGTTAGCGTTATAAGGTCTCTGAAAAATACATATACAGTTTACTCTCGATTATCCGCTGTCTTCCACGGAATCGTCTACATACTTATATGTATACAAAAAAATAAATACGTATTGTATATTGGCTAATTTTTCTAAATTTCTTACTGGAGGAGAGAATGTTGACGAAGAAAACATTAATGAGTGGATAAATTGTGATGCCAATGATCCAGGATTTGAGCGTCTTAGTGATGAACAAATAGTAAGTGGAGCATTAGGTACAGTTTCGGAAAGTGAAGGTGAAGAAGAAGAAAACGATGGAGTAAATGAAGTAAAGCAAGTGAGCCATGAAGCAGCTCTAAAACATATAGACGGGATCATTAGATATCTAGAAGAACAAGAAGATACAACTCTGTGTGACAAAATGTTATTAAAAAAACTTCAATCACAAGTTAAAAAGATGAGTTTTCAAACAAAGAAACAATAACTTGTGACTGATTTTTTTGCACATAAATAATTTATAATTTTTATTAATTTTTCATTATACATGTACATACATGTAGGTATATCTTTTTTAATAATACATAGTAATAATAATTTTCAATTTCAATTTCCAATTTAGTTTTTATTATAAAATTTAATTTTGCGGATTATCCGCGGAATTCGTTTATCCGTGGATGTCCTGCCACCCTATTCCACGGATAATCGGGAATAAACTGTATATGCAAACATTTTTCGAATTTGCTTGGGCTTTTGAAAAATTGAGACTTCAATTAAATAACGACTCTGAATCATCTAATAGCAAATTTCGATTTTTAGCTGCATCTTTAAAGGTAGAAAATGTTATACCATTATTATGGTCGTTATTATAACGTCGTCGAATGATTTAGTAAGTATTAAGTAATCTCAGATAATACCGTTCGCCATCAGAAGGTTATACTTGGTAAATTTTGCCAATGACTGGCTGATATTTAACCCGTTTTTCTTCGTTTTATAAATATATATATTTATATTTTATTTACAAGTTATATGGGAAACTTTGTAGTATCAGGTCATTTTTTTAAAAAAAATTTTATTGATATTTCGGTGATGGAGATGGGGTTTGAACCTCTAAAAACCCACTGCATTCGCGCTTGTCATCCAACAAGTGCTTATATTTTTGTTTTGAAACAATTAGCAACCATGCGTTTTAAAGCTCGGACATCTAAATAGAAGTTTAAGCTATAATCTATTTTATATTGTAAATTTAATAAATTGACAGTATAAAGTAGAAAACCTATTGGCAAAAGTTTTAGGGAAGCGAATATTCACCATAACTAAAACCCTTCTTATATTTAATGAATGCTTAGCTATCCATCGTTTTAAAGTTAAAGTTAATTTATCTTGGTTAATATAAATTGCTTAATATTTCGAAGATTTCAACATTAATCATCTTCATACGTAGTGTCAAATATTTTACAATTTATTTTTTCTGAAATCAAGTTTTTATGTGTACAAGAAATAAAAAATAATACAACAAAAGAATCAAATTAAACGTCGAATTAAATTTTTCCGTGGATAATAATACTATATTTTATAATTGAGACGTTTAAGACTTTTATAAACCGAAATATTTCTATATTTGATCTATATTTCAACATGATAATTCAAATCATTGAATCTTATGCCACGTGTGGTTAGATACTATATAACACTATTAACGTTTTTTTTTTTTTTTTAACTCGATGTTCGATTAACTCCACGCTAATAATGATAAATCCATTAGCTTGGATAATAGTGATAAATCCACCTTGACTTCACGGTTATATAGGTACACGGGTACTATTTTGATGTAAATCGGAACAGTAGGTGAAGTTAAGAAAAAAACTATTGCTTTCAATTTGTAATCTATGTTTATTCCACGAAAAATGATTTTTAGTAATTATATCATTTTCCTTTGTAAATATGCCAAAAAATAGTTTCTCATTCCTAAACAGAATGACAAATCTATGGCACTATAATTTATTTAAATGCTCTAATAATAGATTATAAAATATCACTAACAACAGCGACCACAATGATTTCTTGTAAATTATATGCTATAATTAGTGGCGTAGACAGGGGGTTTGGGTGTTGAAACCCCCCTCCCATTGCCTTTCTACATCTAATAAATAGATTATTTATATTATAAACTTGTATTACTTGCAAACATTTGTATTAGCAAAAGTATTTGGTATAAGTTTGCCACTAAGTAAACATCTCCAAACTAAAAATATAGATTTGATTGATGTTATTGAGAATGCGGATGGTGTTATATGAATTATTGAAAATATTAGAAAAAATGCAGAAAGTGAATTTAAAAGTATATTTGATGAAGTTAAAACTAAATGTGATGCTTTAACTATTGAAATTTCTTTGCCTCGTAGGACGAATGTTCAAAAAAATCGTTGCTATGTACAAGAAAATTCTCCTGAAGATTACTTTAGGATTTCTCTATTTATTCCATTTATTGATAGTTGTATAAATGAACTAAATGAGCGATTTTTATCTCATAAAACTATGCTTAAATATTTTACATGTCTTTTACCTTCCTCAAATGGCAAATTTGATGAAGAGAATATAAAACAACTTATTGAAATATACCAAGGTGATTTGGATTGTGGTAAATTAGCTGCAGTCGAAGAAATAAAAAAATGGCAACAAAAATTTGTACAGACACAAGTTTTTCAAAAAAATTCCCTTGACGCTCTTCAAGAATATAATGAAACGATTTTCCCATCAATTTTTAAATTGCTTCAAATCTTAGCAACCCTGCCAGTTACTACTGCCAGTAGTGAAAGGTTTTTTTCTACATTGAAACGATTGAAGACTTATTTGCGGATCATGACTTGCGAAAATAGATTAAATGGTTTGGCACTTTTGAATATTTATAGAGAAATAATATTACAGCCGGAAGACGATTTGAAGAAATTAGCCATAAGAACAAGAAGAATACGTTTGATTTAGATAAATAGTAAGTATTATAGTTATGTTCATAATATTATTAGGATTTGATTTGTTATGTATAATTTTATAACAAATAAAAAATTATTAATTTTCATATTGAGGTGTTTATAATGTATAATTATAATACTATACATTCACAAGTTCACAACTGAACTTTGTTTTTGAATAGTTAAATTGGGCAACAAATATAACGAAAACAGTGAAAAGCTAAGTTTAATTTATACTTACCCCTCCCCCCCTTGAAAAATCCTAACTACGCCACTGACTATAATAAACTAAGTTTTTTCATACTCAAAGTCAAACATATGTATTTTTCTCATTTAAAATAATTATATAATACCATATAATACTCCATTGTATATATAGGTATGTATATAATAATGTAACACATAGTCCATACATGATCGCTAATAAATGATTAACGTCTATATAGTATGAAGTATCTCTGAATCTTGTAAGTACACTATTTAAAAATTTGTGTTATTAATGCACAAATGTAATATATTATATGTATTATACATAGTATATTATACTATAATTTATTCTACTTTTCTAAAACAAAAAAATCTTTTAAGTTGCAGTAACCGTACTTCAAGTCTTCCATCCAATATAACGTTATTAAAGTTAAGTACTTGGTTTTGTTCATAAATGAGTAGCTATAAGATTTTATCTGCTGAAAAACTACGATAAGCATCTCAATTGAACTAGGAATACAGGTCAAAAGTAATTTAATATAACTATATAGTATAAAGATATAGGCTAGGTGGCTATACAAATTTTTTAGATATATGCTTTTTTCACGTGGGTAGGTGAGAATACAATATACATACTATCATTAAGCGAAACTAAAAGTTTCTCAGTCTCGCTCGACAAATCTGCTGTAATTTTTCTCACACCTTTTTATATTAGAAACATAATAATTTTCTAGTTTATACTTTAGAAAATCAATTTAATATTTTTTCTATTGACTTTTCAAAAAAAAAAAAAAAAATCCCCCATTAAAACCTAATTAATAATAGGTATATAAATTTTACATAATTTATCATTTGACATTTTTACAACACATACATATTACAAGAAACAAAAATATTTAACTAAAAATAGACACAAAATATTGGATATTATGGGTGGTGTAATTCGTACTTGAATTGATGTTTATAGATAATAATAAATTGTTTCTTTAATCATTTATTATCAAAATATTTTTAATAATCATCTGAGAAACACAGACAAATAAACATTTATTATTTAGGTACTTACCTGTTAATATCTGATTTTAAATGTGAATTTAAAATAAAAAAATAAAAGATATTTTGTTCATGAATCTGGACATTTCAATGGGTATACGGGGCTACACAGCTGTATACTCATGTAACATCGTACTTTTAGTGAGTTAGATAAAATAATAAACTAAAGAAGTGAGTATATAGAGTATACCCTTGTATACACAATTAGATATAGGTGTGCCGAATACCGTATACATTAATGTACCGTATTCTTACAAGTTATATTAATACATACAAATATACGAAGACTGAACAGCCTAATATTCTGTATAATTTAATAGTTGAATTACAAATCAAATATGTTATAAAATAAAATGATTTATTTTTCAATAGAATTATAAAAAATTATAATCATCCTTTAAGACAATAAGTATATTAAATAAAACATAAAAATTTTATATACCTATTTAAAAACAGTTATAAAATGTATCAAAAACTTAAAAATATTTACAACATTTAAAATTACACTTAACTTACATTTTTGCATGTGATTTTAAAAGAATGATAAAATCTTCATAAAAGCAACTTCAATACATTTAAGAAACTGCAGGACATTCTAAAACAAAATATAAATTATATTACAATTTAAAAATGTATAAAACATACTTTGAAGTTGTATAATTTTTATACTGTGCCTATATATTATTTTTAACTCTATATATTAACTCTATTAAAATTTAGTAAGTATATATCAATATAAATCATTTATCCAATCAATAAAAAATCAAATTAAAATATCTAGTATTTTTCCTATAATATTGATAGATCTAGGTTCTAGAATCACTACTTAATTTTCAAAATAATCACCGTAAAAAAATTACTGCAAATTATAATTTGATCATATTGTCATTAATTTAGACATGAAAAATAAGCATATATTAAAAATTATTTTGTCATACAAATATTGTAAATATGACAAATTGGTTTCAATACGCGCGCGAGCATACGCATACGCATACATATACACATACACATACACATACACATACACATACAAACATATGATGAAACCATTTGAGGTGACAATATAGCGTGAATTGTAAAATATAAATCTGTCTTAACTAATTTATTCACACAAGTAATTGGGATCACTTAGCATATTAAAAGTAATGATTCGTATTTTTAAAACTAAAGCTCTTTTAAATGATTCATTATTCAATCCATCGCAAATATGACAATAAGACAAATAGGACTTACAACCATGGATTTACCACAACTAAAGTTATATAGATATCATCCTCTACTTGTAAATTATAATTTTTTATTTGTTTATAATATTCTTTGTTAAAATTGCACGGATGGTTGTATTTTCTTTCAAAAAAACGTAAAAGAAAAATGTCAGTTTAAAAATTAAAAATAAAACATTTAAACAGTTGTTATAAGAGATGTATGAAAACACATAATACATACGTTAAAATTATCGAGTACATAAACTGTAAAAGTCATAATATATGTGTTGTTTTCTCAAACAACATTATATCTTGTTGTAAAAATTGTTTTCATTTATTTTTGACTCAAAACTATCTGAAAATTGATTTTCTCTTAGTTTGTAATTTTAAAATATAAGACTCAATACAGCACCAACCAGGAAGAGTTTTCGTGTATAAATCATGAAAAAAGCTTGCACATATAATTCTATCTTATGTATGCATGACTTAAACTCCAACTCTGCGATATTATAAATGTATACAGGTATTACTCGCTTAACCAAGTCCCAATAATTGTATAGTGTGTTTGACGTGAAACAGCTCGGGTGTATCGGTCGTCGGTGTCACTTAACTACGGTTACCGTTAGAGGGAAATCCGACTAAATAATGGGCTCCGGGAAGTTAATTATATAATGCGCTTATGGTAGTGTTATAATGCTGTAATGCTTAATCCACTACATCAGAGTGTACATTATTAGCAGTGTAACACAATGCTCGAATCAACTAAATAAAAGTATACGGATGCCGCTGTTTACTTAACAAAAAAAGAGCGATCACTTTATTATTTTGTTCAAACGTTCCAGGAAGCCATGCTACCCGACCACCACGAACGATTTCCCATAATTTGTATACAGCTTTTAAATAAATCTTCTTTTATTTTCTTTTATTCTGTGTATTTTTTTTTTGATTTTTCGTTAAAAGAATATGGTCGATGAAATTATTTTTCTTAATACTATATTAGAACATTTGTTTTCGTGGTCAATACTGCTTTAGTTAAAATTAATTACAAAACGTGTTTGTGACATATTGCAACACATAAAATATATTTTGATTATCGTTTAAATAAACCATGACGTAGTATTATAATATAATAATATGTTATGTTAATTGTATATTAATAATTGTATCTATTAAATATATGTAATACAATATGTCGCACTTACTGCAAACGGAACAACCGGATTCGTCCGACCCGTCGCCACATCCGTCTCGGCCAGAACACAACACGGCTGTTGATCTACACCTGCCATTCCTGCACCGGAAAGGACATTCCGCAGGACTATGCCTGTAAGCGCCGCGAACCCGCGTCAATGGCGGCGGTGACCTCGTAACGGTTGTCTTGTTGCCAACGGTCATCGACGCACCTCCACCACCACAAAGGCCTTCCAGCTCGTCCGATTTGTCCACGCACGTGACAACGGCGTTACACAGCTCATACTCAGGCAGACATTGGCCATCTCCGCATTGAAAAGTATACGCCGGACATCCTGTAGAACGTGAAATCGAAAATTTAGTATTATTTAGTGAACATTAGCGCATGAAATGTAGTTTCGCGTGTTTGTTCCTGTATAAAGTTAGCTTTTATTTGTGTACAACACTAAAAAATATACTCAATGTATATGCTGTAAGATCTAAGCCAAATCTCATTTTTTTATGTGATTGAAAACCATCCCAAGAAATATCTACTGAAAATAAATAGTGTTTTTTAAATGGTTAATAGTAATTTGTTAATATCTGAAACATGAATATATCCCTTAAGTTAAAAAGCTTTTCCTTCTATTATTCTATAAACTAGTTCATTTTTGTGCTTCAATACATGACCAATTCTATTCCATCGTCTTGCGTTTTAATTAGCTCTTAGCGTTAATTTATTTCAGTGAGTATTTCCAACATCACATTTCAAAGCTTTCGAGGAATCGTTGTTCTGCTTTGTTAGTATCCAGGTTCCGTAGCCGTATAAGACCACAATTCATATATATACTTTTTTGAAACGTTTTCTCACCTTAATACTCATGCTATTGGAGCATAACTATTTTCTCTTTTATTCATTAACGCTGACTTTGCCTGTGCGATTCTGAATCTTATTTCAATGATGCATCTTCCATCTCGGTTGATTGATCTGCCTAGGTATTTAAAATGTTCCACTTGTTCAAGAAGCCGATGATTCTCAGCTTGGATATAAATTCTACGGATTCGGTCTAATTATTGACACATCGTTTTTTGCCATCTGATAATCAAATAATATAATTGGAAACATCTCGCCATCTCTTCTGGTGCTTTTTCCAAATCGTGCTCATTACACTCGTATATTGATATTTTATATAACAATAGATTTCAACTTTTCTAAGTATAACTATAAAAATAAAACGTTTATTTCAGTGGTATAGTTATCATAGGGCAAAGTGAATCAGTGCCCCGGAGTCCCAGAATACAGGAAGCCTTGTACATTTCTGAAAATATACTTTCTTAAAATAATTGATAATGTTGAAGTATTCAACAGTAAAATCCCAAATAATACTTGGTTATTACAGTTACAATCAGTAGAATAATAATTCGCGCACAAGCAATATATTTTTATAGTAAAAAAACTGAATTTTCTTTTTATTTTGTATATCTATTAATGATTTGTTTTATTATTTTACAATTATTTTATCATTTTTTTTTTTTAAGTCAATGATACATATTAACGTAAATAATAACAACAGGAAAATATGCAATTAAAAATCCCTAATAATAAGACATACAAATATATTTGAGGTTAAATTATTTAACACGCCACACGACGCGTCGCATATAGATATGAACTTGCTGTATAATTTTTATTGTTACTTCACTAAGCGAATGTATAATTAGGTTTCCGTTGCGTACGTGTTATTGTTTATTTCTATAAGAAAAATTTAATGCTAGACTGTACAAATACGCCCATTAGAATTTAACGGTCTGTACAAGTTTAACAACAAATAATGACCCGAAATTGGCCCGTTAAGCCATAATGAGTTGTAAACTTCATCAAATTTTTATGCAACTCAGCACAAGTGAAGTTTAACAGATCCGCTTTGGATCCGTTTTGAAAATACTCCATGCTCAGAACATGATTAATAATGTAAGTCAACAAATAATGTCTATGTAATGAACATAAACATATAATATACATGCACAAAATTCACTTTATGTCTTCTCTAACCTTTATGCCCTAAGGCGTTGCAACCTTCTTCGTCATCTCCGAATGGACAGTTTTTTACACCGTCACAGCGTGTCGATCTGGAAACACACAGATTCTTGAGACCATTGGCAGATCGACATGCGAATGTCGTGCTTGGACACTGTTGATTTCCCGAACATTCTTCATCTGAATTATCGTCTTCTCCGCAGTCCCCAGTTCGGCCATCGCATACAAAGAACCAACTAATACATTTACCACTGGATCGACACTAAAAATTATCACATTTTTTTTTCTTTTTTTTTTAAATTTTTAGAGCTATAATTTTTATATTTAAACCTATCGATAAAACGATGAAAAGAAATTCTTGTATATTCTCTATTATAATATTAAAAGTATGCTTTTTTTCTTTGTCAAGTAACTTATTATTAGGGAACGGATTTATATGTAATAAAAATACAGAAATATGTACATATATATGTAAGTATAATTTATAAAATATGTGCTAAAAACATCCAAATATGTGGGGGAAAAAAATTTAAAAAAAAAAGTGATTATTATTATTAAATTATCAAAAAGATTTGTTGCATTGAATTATTACAATATCTTATAAATTATCAAATGTTAAATGTCGCCTATTAGGTAACAAAATATTTTTAAAACGGCTAAATTATCGTTTCACATCAACTGATGTATTAAAAGCATATTTCAAGTGCATACTATCAGAAGGTAATAATTCCAAATTTTTAAAAGGTTTTCTGCCATTCATTATGTCATTGATTGTTTTAAAATCAATATTGCCTGGAATTTTTTTCTGTAACAGCATGAATTTTCTTTTTTACAACATCTATTGGTCCGCTTACGAGTTTTAATCGCTGATTCAACAATTTGCATACTATCATTTGGGGACATATTTTTTATTAATAATTTTGTTAAATTATTTTTAATTAAAATTAAATTATTTTCAATGATTCATTTTGCATAATATTTTGAGCTTTTCCAATAGCGATAAAAGTTTCTGGATCTAATTTTGAAATAATTTCTTGTATTTTCGTACGAATAAGACGTATGAATGATGAAATGATAAAAATATGTTTAAAAATATTTAAAAATTAGTGAAATATGTAAAAATATATAATTATACCAAAATATGTAAAAATATGTAAAATAAAAGTATCATAATTTTAATAGGAATGATTTAAATCATAAACATTTTTTATCGAATCTTAAATATCTCGTTTTAATAAAAATATGCATTTACATATAAATCCGTTCCCTACTTATTATTAATAATATCTCAATTAACAAGCTATAACCATGAATACTATTTTGATTAGATTTTTTATCAGTCATCAGATATTGAAGTATATTTACTTGGAATGTATTTTGTAAACAACCACGTGATTTCGATGAACACTGGTTACTTGTCCTATTGTTTGATTGACAATCACAAGTACCCTGTATGCAGCGTGAGTTTTCGTCATTTCGCATACACTGAGCATCACTCACACATGGAAATCCAAGACTTATACGTCTTTTTGGTTCTCCTTTTCTTAACATTATACCTAAAATATGATTTATTTAATTTTACTTTAAAACCACACTATTATCATAATATTCAATATATTTATAGTATACGTTTGTCATTCACTAGATTTACCTGAACTACTTGTTGGTTTCTTGTGCATTTTTATAAATGTATTGTTATTGTAATTTGTTTGACTTTTATTTTGTGAATCTTTTATCGGTCTTTTTAAGAAAATTTTTATAGGTGAAGGCGTAGGCATCGATGCAATTTGAGGTTTAAATGTTGTACTTTTGAGTGAAGTTGTTGAATAGTTGAAAGAAACAATAGATGACTGGGTATTGACGAACGAAATTGCATTTGTTTTTAAACCATTATTAGTCAAGTTAGTTTTTAAAATTGGCCGTTTCAAAAAAGGCAATTGTGGTTTGTCGATTGGTTGTAATGGTCGAGCTGTTGAGGTAGTTGTTGGATGTCGCAGATTCTGTTGCCAGGGTCGTTTTTGAAAAGGTACTTTTTTCTTCAAATCTGGTTTACTGAATGGGTACTTGAACGCTGAATTATTAGGTTTTATTAAAGCCGACTCTTGCCCTTTTAATGAACAATCACTATGGATAGCAGAATTGCATACGCAAAAGCCAAACACACTTGGTATAGTAAATTCACATTTATTTTTTTCATCATATAATGTACAGTGCGTGTCACTATAGCACACTTCTCCCAGCTTGGCAGCTATAAAAAAGTAATAGCAGACATATATTTATTATAAAATATTAAAATATACATGATTATTATTATTTTCAATATTATGTTTTAATAAAATTGTTAGTATACATAAATATTATATGAACAATTCATATATATATATATTAACGATTACATGACATCAATAAACTAAAAAAAAGTTATAAATGTCAATATTTATCTTATAAGAAGAGCTTCTATCTGTATTTCTTTCTCAATTATTGCCGTATACTAATAATAGTAGTCTAAATTTTTGTTCAAGAACCACAATAAGAATATTTGAATCAATAATATACTTTAAGCATAAAAAAATCTAAATTTTTTATATTTATTGGCGATGTATAATAATCGCTATACTAGAAAAAAAATATCCAATATAATGATGCAATATCAACTATGCTGTTACTAAGTATAAATTATATTCTTATTGAGTATTGAATAATATTTATACATATGTATATCACAATAAGGTTTTTTTTTTTTATTCACAACGAATATGCCAATAGTTAAATCTTACGGTGCTTAATATGAAAAATGTTTCTAAAATATAGTTCAAGAAGGATGTCACACAATAGCATTCCTTTAATCTGAACCATATCGGCTAGAAGAAAATTTGTTAAAATCGATATAATAGAATCTGGCGAACCAAATTGTATTATATTGATGATATAAGCTGAAAATATATTTCTCGGTAGACTATATGTCTACACCAAAAGGAGTTTATTGCACTTGTTGCCAGTTTGAATTTGTAGCGATAAAATGTTGGTGCTTATATATTATACCGTTTTTCCTTTCAGTAAAAATATAATATAAATCCCTTCACGTGTAATAGAATAACCACATGTAAGGCTGTCAAGAACAATATAAAGTCTCACGTAATACTCGACAACAATGACCTCTAATAATCTTTATATGTATATTAACATACACGGAACGTTTGAGTGTTATTATTTTTTTTTCCTGACATGGATCTACAATCTGTTTGGTATTATGAAAGCGTCATAAATAAAATATAACGGGTTCCTGTATGTTAATGAACGACGTCAATGAACCAAAGGATCAGGGAAAACGTAAATATAGTATACTTATGTACTTTTTTCACGCGAATGAATAATTTCTATCGTTTTTGTATGGGAACCTGTACGTCGATGGTAATCTTTATTGTTTTCCAATGGCACACGTAATTAAGTTCAATACGAACATTGAATTAATGGAATTGTTCATAGTATTGGGAGTTAAAATTTAAACAATATATGAGTCTTCGCTTTATGAATAGTTGAGTTATTAATTACAAATATAAAAAAAACATTATACAGATCTGTCATAATAATTCAAATTACATTTTAACCCCTTATGTTGTATTTTCATTATAATTCATATTTTTTTAAATATTGACTATTCTAATTCAAATTAAAGTGAACTCGATTCGACTGAACTGTCTAACCAGATGAACAGAACCACTCCGGAACAAAAAGTTAAGTTATTTTCGTCCATAGTACATGATTATTTTATTAAGTTTATTTTACTTACGAGATAAACATGTGTGTCTTCGATACTGCCAGAATTTTGATTCACATTCGCAAACATTATTAAAACATCTACTATTAGCTACTTTCAACGAACATTGCTCATCTACGATACACTCAAATCCCAAAAGTGACGCTGTTAATTCAAAAGTATAATACAAAAAATTATTAAATCATTTTTTTAGATTGTACTACTTTTAGATAACATAATAGAAATTAGGTCTTTCAAATGGTTTGTAACATAAATTATATATAGAATATAGATGTATCAATCATATACAGTAACAATAATTTAATTATCCAACAAGGATAGTATGCCCGGGGCTTTAATAGAAGGCGCCACGATAGAACGGACAATACTAATTTTATTATTTTTGAACAATAAGTATATGTTCCTGTTCCAGTTTTTTATGAACCCAAACGTATTTGATCTATAAAACTATATGATAACAAAAATACTGAATATGCCAATGCAATGAAATAACAAATATAGAACCATTCTTAATATTAATTTATATGTAATAAATTGTAGTTTTATTGGGGAAAAATTATTTGAGATGAAAATTCCCTAAAAATGTTAACAAAAAGTATTCTTGGATGAATATATTAAGAAGTATTCTTGTAAAATTAACAATATAAATTATACTGTAACGTAGAGGTATTTATACAAATACCAAGTAAACATTTATTTTATGAATTATAAAATACTAAAATTAGTAAAATAGTAAAAGGTGTAATATCAAAGTAATCTGTAAAGATGATTGAACATGCCAAATTTTAATAAAAATTACCTGTATTATATGACAAAATGATACAGATAAAATTGTCAGATAAACTTATCCGGCTGATATTTTATGAAGTTACAGATTAATCATAGAAGCTGGCCCAGTCCTGATGATTTACGGGGCTCGGGGCAGAGTAAAATTGCGGGTCCTTAAATGCCGAAAATGTCATTATCGCGCGTTAGTTGGAACTCAAATGTGCATAAAGTCTTAACAAATATAGAACCTTGCACTTACAAAAATATGAATAAGTATATAAATAAATTATATAATAAACAATTTTACATGAAAAATAATGATATGTACATTTTTTTTGCTCAGCAATTTAACTTTTTTTTTATTGTATCTATGATATATGAAAGGAAGTCCAACTGAGGTGAGAGCGCGAGACTCGGGGTGAGGGCCCCTCTCGCTCTGCCCTAAGGACGACCAAGTATAGAAAATATAGTATAATGTTATCATTTATCACATTCGCCGTGTTTCGTTGAAAGATAAATCGTGAATTGTAATCGTATAATCAAGACTATAGCATGTCCTTATATTAAATTATATAAATTCATATAATCAATGATCATTTATACAATTATTATTATTGATTCATGTCATTCACAGAATCAATTATATATTTATAATGTTAAATTATATTCAATTTGCATTATTAACTTATGCCTGACAGAATATAGTAATTAGGTATTACTGATTTTATTTATAATCCGAATTTATAATTTATGTTATAAAGCATACGCGAATTTTTTTGTTTTCTAATATTTCATATTTAAGTTTTTTTTTTTATAAAATACATTATATAATTAATATACGTAAACTCTCGATAATTTTTATTTATTTTTGTATGCTACATAGATAGTTTGTTTTTCAAACATTAATATTCTTCTGGATTCTGATTTCAAAACACTAGTAAAACGAATTAAAAATAAATGAAATAACTTGGCTTGAGATAATAATACTATAAAGAAATAAACTACAGTATAAATTATCTAAAATAAAAATACTTACAATTATATGAAATAAATTATGATTCAATTATTTATATAAAACATCTATGGAAGTATAGGTAGTGTAGTTGGTATTTATCCTCACACCATTCAGGAACAGTCCGGCTAGGGAGGCGTGATTGCCCCCTGGGCCCTCAGTGTCATATTAATTACCCATATACAAAATGTAATATATTAAATTATAATGGTAAAATACCAATCATTTACTATTAGAATATTCGAATTTGGATGAATTGAGCACAAATAACTAAAATATTTATTAGTTAAAATGTAATAATATTATATTCAGTTGACCCTTCCTCTCTCGTTCCCCACGATACCCAGTCCGCCCCTAACTACATTTATCAAATATAAGAATATAATGTGATATTCATAAATTTTAATTATTAAGAAAATAAATTATAAATAATTACGAATTTTGAATTCCATTAATAAATTAGATTCGTTTAAGAAAAAACTTACACTGTAAACATGTGTTGTTCACTCGCGCGTAGTATGGTAAACAAGAACAACTCTCAGACTCTTGATGACATCTGCTAAATTCTGTTTCACAATCTTTATTTGACTGACAAATTTCACCCAATTTTACTCCATATGTCTGTATAGGAAAATTCTATAAAAAAAAATTTTGGAAATCAAAAAAATTATAACCATAATAATAGGAAACATAAGCAGTAAGAGTGGTTATGAAAATAATGTTGAAAGAAAAAAGGAAGACCAAAATAGAGATGGTTTGATACGATTGAGAATAATATGAGGGCTATTAGTGTGTGCGTACGGGATGTAGAAAATCGAGATGTGTGGAGGTTTAGGACAAGGGTGGCCAATCTCAAAAATAGTCGGAAGAAAGGCGAAGAAGAAAAAGAAGAAACAAATTATAACCAATAATATTAACATTATGTAATTGGGTTTCTTCATTGTTTACCAATTTTTTACTTTTGAAAAAATAAATTATTTATTTTATTCAGAATTATTTATATATTGAAAATAAAGAGGAAATAATATTTTATTCAAAGCATATCTATCATTAAACTTATATCTTAGTTGTAACTATAAAAAATACTTGATTTATATAATTTAAATAAGACTTTATCGTATATTTAATAGTCATTAGTTATTATAATTTATTATCAAAAAAAAAATGCAATGTCAACATTTATTATTTTATGGTTGAAAAAAAAATGAAACATCGTTGTATACATTTGTTCATACATTTAGTTCCTCGTATATCGCAAGTAATAATACCTTGTTGTAACAATCGATCTTGTTCCTCCTAATAGTAACGTTTAACTACTTACATATATAAATTTATGATTGTATGTAACAATTGTTATGTTTATATAGGTCACATTTTTCCGTGTACACGTTAAAAATCTTAACGAAAGTGTCAACATAAATAAATATAATAATATTAACTATAATGAGAAAAACATCTTTCAAAGTGAAACGTGAATACGATTGGGAATGTATGTCCACAACGCATAAAGACCGTATAATATACCTATATGGCATGTTTAAAGAAATATATATTTTATTATATTAAATGTGATTTTTATGACAAGTGTACATAAAAAAATTGTGAAATTAACAATAGTAAATCAATTTAATAAGAAAAGTAAAAGTATACATATATCTAACAATAAGCAAAATTACTGATTCTATAAAATTATCTACTTTATTAAACTACCATTGCGTAACTTCAAAATTATGGTCTGACATTTTTACTAGTTCTTATGATACATATACCAATAAGTGACTCATATATTCAATAAGTGAGATAAAGGTTTCGTTTCCATATAGTCGACTTTTTCGGATCTTATATATATAAATTACTGAATTGTAACAACATAATTCGATATCATAAAAATTAATTCTCATTAGTTCTTAAAATATTATGATCTATCAACAATAAAAAGGAACCTAAAAACATTTATTTTTAAATTAAAAATGTTAAATATTGAATAGTATGTATAATAATAACCAAAAATTGCTGTAGATTGATTATATGTTATTTGTTTAGTGACAAATATTGTGGTTTATATGAGATATTATAACAAAGAATAATTTGATCAAAATTATTAAATGGAATCATAAAAATGTGTTTTAAAACTAAACATCATACCGAAATTATTGACATAAAAATAACGATGGCCATTGATTATATATTGAGAACAGGAATGATAGGATATCATAAGATATAAGAAGATAAACTACTATTTTCACCACACAACTCGAATTTGAAATTATATACGCCTTTACGTATTATGTACCTGTTACTAAAAAAATAAATAAAAATATGGTTAGGCATACGCATTGTAACATTACAAGTGCACTGTCACTCAATAAACATAAATCGAATAACAACAGTCTTACTTTGTATTATTACCATTTTTACAGTTTTCACATGATACCGTATTTTAGCGGGAAAGTCTTGTTCACATATATACATGGACGTTCAATTTATGCCGTTATAACTATATTATAATATATATAGTTTTTGATCTATTCGAAATCGTATTATTTTTTTTTTTTTGTTTAAATCAATTTCATAAATAATATTTTGATATACAACAATGGGTTTATATAACCTCTAGGACAACATATAATACTAGATAGTAGACACCTACTTTAACACTGATTTATTTTCATAAATTATAAAAAATTAATAAGTTAAGTAACTCAACAGTCATAAAAGAATAGTATAATTTTTTTTACTTATTTTTTAAATATCTAGTAATTTAATAAAATATGATACATATTCACACTAATAATAATATAATAATTTATGAGAATAAAATAGTTAAAGATATGTTGATTTGGTAGAAAAAAATAATATCAAGTTCATAGAATGTTCATTAACTATGAAAACAGTATTTTGCTTTTTATAAAATACTGATCAGTATTAAATATTAGAACAAAAAAATAATAAAACAGTAAAATATACCAACATTTAAATATACTTTTTACTAGATGCATATATAAACTTAATCAAATAAGATGCGTATTTAAAGTGGCACGGACCAATATAAAATAGGCATATATATTACACACATTGTACCTTAGTAGTGAATATATGAATGAATTATAAAAGACTAATGTCTTGCACATTATCAAATTGATTACTTTATAAACCAATTGTATAAAATATTATACTTTTGTAAACTCTGTATCAATGAACTTTTTAAAACCTTCGTCTAATTTTACATTGTATAATTTAGATCAATTGCGTGTATATATGAAACAAACGTATAATTGTGAAATTATGTAGTTTTCTACCGACCTATTCAATTTCAATAGATTTCTGACGCGTCACTACTATCATGTCTAGTCTATTTGTTACACAAACCGTCTGGGCAGAGACAGACGATCCCGTCAGTTGTCAAGTGGCTAGTCGAAAATTAATTTGACAGTAAAAAGAAGCAAATTGTAACGTTTACTATAGTTTGTTCCAGTCTTAGTCTTCGTCTAGCGTCCACGATCCATAATAGGTACGCAAACCAAAGATTAAAAGATATTTATTTTACGGTACGACCTTAAAATTACGATAGTCAACCATTATTATTTTCCATTACACTTTGGTGATATGTGGTTGATGGTGTACATAAATAAGTACATTCAATTACAGAGCTACATCAATAAAATAAATTGGACAAATTAGAAAATAAAAAAATTATCAAATACAGGATAAATACTTTAAAAATAATTCAGTTGATCTTAAATTGACCAATTAGTAAATATTACTGCTTGAACTCGAATAGTTAATTTAAATTTTTATATATTATAATTGACACTTTATTCGAAAACTTAAACAAAAATTGTTTGATGTATTTCATTACAAATTATTCAGTTTTGATTACTTAGATAACGATAAAATAATTTGTTGCAGTAAATTCTATAATTTAAGATTTAACATATTAATAATATTACTTAATAGTAAATAACTACCTATTTCAAATACAACAAATACTATAATGATAATTACTTTCAAAAACTATTATACATATATTATTATTATATATTTGTACAGCAGATTCTCATTACGTGGAATCTCAAGAGGAACAGGAAAAAGTTTGCGATATCAGAAAATTCGTGGTATCAAGTTTTATTAAAGAATTTTTAAAAATGGAAAAAATTAGTAAATAATTTGAATGCTTAAAATACATAATTTGATACATATTACTTTTATAAAATAATAATATAACATACATATTAATGAACTACAATATTTAATTGATTCACTATTTTTTTAAAAATCTGTTTTGTATGTTTTTATCTCGGCACTGAGTTAACTATTTTAATAAACATTCATCGATGTCCAAATAAGGAGTCATCCTCATTTTTTTTATATTTTCACTATTCAACATCAAAATTTTATCTTTCTATTTAATAATTGACGATAATTTATTTGGCAAAATTTTAAATTCATTAGAGATTTAAATTTTTATGGTTCAATTAATTATAATAAACAAATTTGGTCCGAAATTTTCAGAACATTAAATTTATAATTATTCTCTATTTCACAATATTGAATACGAATGACTACAAATATTGTCCTTCAATCTCTATACTGAATGTAATACACAATTTTCTGTTCTTATGCAATAAAAATATTATTTATGTACCTAGCTCGAGATAACGAAAAATTCGACATAAAAAGATTTTACTGTATGGTATACCTATTAATTTATAATATATTAAGTTTGTTAATATTGTTTATTGGTTTAGTTTTTGATAGTCATAAACACTGATTTATAAAACTTACAAAATTTAATGTAATAATGGAATAGACTTCAAATTTTGCCAAAAAATAATCAATTATTTTTAAGTTAAAATGTAAAGTTTAGTCTATATAAATTTAAAAATGAGCATTATATATTACAATACTGCTTCCTATTCATGATAAATTATCATTAATCATTATTACATGTGAACAAGATTCGTAGGTAATACACTGAACCATGTCTTTCAGATCATATAAATAAGTATGAATGCAGATACTTTTGTCCAACATGAATACATACTACAAATCCATTCGTGCTCGAAGGCTATACACGGTGTATAGTATTTATTAAATCCAAAAGAAAAATTGTATTTTCTATACCGTTCTCACATCTATTTATAATTAACCCATTATTATCACTAATCCTACTATACAAATTCGACTTTAAAAAGTATCGTCACGTAAAGGGGATGACGAATATTACTATTTTTTATAATTATTTTAATATATTTGGGGCCTAACAACTCTTATTTATTTCCATACAAGTTGCATGTCAATAATATAAATATATGGATTTTTGACTCATCAAGTCCTAAAAATAATTTTTGATCATTTACAAGTATACTATTTAAAAATTTAAAATATTTATAGAAAATAATCTTGTTATTTGTATATAACTCTTAACTCAGTTAGCTTTAATTTTAAATAGCTTTTTTCATAATTCTATTAATAGAAATAAATAATAAAATATTTAAAGTAACGTTGGTTTTCAATTAAAATATATTATTTACAAAATCAAGTTTAATTCTTTATTAATTAATCAACAATATATAAAAATACTATTTGAGGAAGTACCACAGTCAAGATAAATAGAGAATAAGTGAACATATCAAATCAATTATTTTTTTTTCTATAAAACTAAATTTAACTCAATTTTTTTAATTATACACATATTATACTTAAATAAAATTACCTATTTGAAAATGTCTAATAAAAGATTTCTAACAAAAATATTGATTATATCCACCATTTAAATGAAAACATAAAACAGTATATAAAAACATATATTTGTTTTACTAATATTTTTTGGTTCAAAATATATTAATAAATTATAAAATTTATTTTATTTTATGGATGCAGTTTTCGTTCATAGATCTATTCTTGATTAAGACATTTTAATTTAATAATTACCATAATTGACCATTAAATGCGTAAAATGTACTTAAATTACTAATATAAACCGATAAGATATTAATTGTTAAATTATAATTTTTCGAACTTACTTTTATCACCATAATGAAACAGCTAATTTTAAAAAAATTAAAAATCATTTTATTTGACTTTTTTAACCGAGATTATATGTATATATAAAATAAAAACAAAACTTATTCTGATAAGAAACCATAAAAATCTGTTTAAAACATAAATATAATCTTGATACAATTTTTACTCGATCTTATAGTAACGTGTAACACTATAGAGGTTTTAAACATAGTTTGTAAACACTACGACCTATTCGGTCGCCCAACACACTGATCGGTCAGGAAAACTATGATCACAACCCGAGTAGCCCGTGCGACATTCTACTATCCCCACCGAATTTCCATGATAGCGTTTTATATTCTTCAGCACAGCAATAAGTATCTTCAAAATAACATGTACTATACCGTATATAATATTTATTTATACATAAATATAAACCGTATAATACGTTACTAATATTTAATTTATTCGAAAAATAAATTTGCCCTGTTACTCCATCTGCATGACATTATCGACATAATAAAATGTGGATATAATAATTTATTATTGGTGTGGGCAGTGACACCCTGTAAGATTAATATACAGATCTACCTGAAAAAATATTTAACTTACAGTCACAAACAAATTAAATTGATAGGTACTTCTAATTTATAAATAACCTAACCTGAATATATTATGTATATAATAAGTATTTATTGCACATTACTGCACTCATAGACAATTTTCCGGTTTAAATAAAATACATTTGAGTATTAGATAAAAATATCTTATAAAAACCTAGTTTGATAATACTTGTATTAGAACTGATTAATTATTCTATGCTAATAGGAAAATAATTAATCAAGTGATTTATGAAAGATGTCGATTACAATATAATAAGTAAAAGCTTAAAAATATAAAAATTATTAAATAATATATTTGTTTAAAGATCAAATCAATCGATAATAGAAATAAGGTAGCTTAAAACGGTTTTAAATTGTATTAAGAATATATATATATTATATTAAAATTATATAAATTAAATGTGCATGATATTTTTGTGATTATGTAATCATTATATCCGGTATAAGGGGAATATATTCAGTATTGTTTAAAACTACTATAAAGCACTACTTATTACATGAAAATCATGTAGAACATAAGTGTAACAATTTTTAAGAACTCTTAAAAAAATGTGAGAAATTACGGTACTTTAATATGATTAGTAGTATTTCAGCTTATCTTTTAAAATTTAATTTGTATATATTATATATATTCCTATGTATAACACACTTATATACTGTAATTAGGATTACTCACGAATAGCTAGGACTAGACTAAACCAAAATACATAGTAAAAAAATGAGAATTACAATATAATGCAAGTTCGTATATTTTAAACCTAAGTATAATTTATAATCATTAATATATTTCCTTATTTTAATATACTCAAAATCCATTTTTATAAAATTTCATTAAATAAATTCTCATTCAAGATTGATTTAGATAAACATTGGATGTCCAAATAAGTTAGATTTTTAAATTTGTTCCGATAAACTAATGTATAATATATTTTATATTATTGCAATGGTAACATAACAAATATAATAATAATAGTTTTAATCAATAGTTTTTAAATCATAAATAACTTTATAAGAAAATTTAGTTATTGATTACTTAAATATTGTATGGATATATGATAAAATGTTTACAAATATACTATATTCTTTTTTAAATACATTTTTAACCTAAAGTGACAAACGGTAAAAATATATTTTGTGATTATAATTTGTTGAATTTCATTCAGGTTTTAATAAACACTTTTTTCTATCATACAGCAATTGTATGGTTACATTGTATTTCATACATATGAAAAAAATGAATTCCCATATCGAGTTTTTTCAATCTGATGATTTTCCATTTTAAACCAATGAACTTCAAACCACGAATAATAACGTACAAAATTGAGAGTTGAAAAAACGCATTTACTTCAAAAACTATAAAGCGTGAAAATTGCATGTAAAACCAACAGTTTATTTATACCTAATCCATTTATTATAATATTTTGAAATTCGCTTTTTTAATAAATAAAATAATTATACTAAATATTTTTATTACTATCCAAAAACAGTTAATAACAATAACTGTTGACGTATATATTTATTAAAAATGAAAATGTCATCTTATGATGACAATATATGCAAATAAGGCAATGAATATGCTATTATTTATTCTGAATTCATACTCGTTACAAAAGAATAAATATCTATTAAATTCCGTTTTGGAATATCATAAAAATAAAGGTTTTTATATTATTATATGATTCGATATTTTATTAATTCTAATTTAAATTTTTTATAATACAACATTTTATAACAATACATGCTCAGAAAAATAAATCCAAAAAGGATTATTCTAATCATTAACAAAAATTCATCCATATTTTTACTTACCACAAAAAACAGATACCTCGACGTATTGCAATTATTAAAGCCGAATATAAATAACGTACTTACTTTGCATATATAACATAATATTATAAAAACATTATGTAGTAATTTCACAAGTGCTTTTTCAACAAATCCTTCCGGTTTGTTGATGAGTTAAAAAAAAAAAAAAAACAGAGGTACCCTGTATTTTTGTAAACTTGTAGACTGTAGGGGCAATGAAATAATCGACCACAGTCATTTACACATGCAAAATGATAAGTTGTTTCTAATAAGTTCTATTTCTTGTTAATCTTATAAAAAATATTAATAAGAGATGAATTCTTACAAAAATCGCTTCAATACTATTGTAAATATTCATGTCTAAATAATAACTTGTAACCATAATATACCATCGGCAAATATACTTCCGTTGTACATCGTATGGTTTTACATATAGATTTTTAGTATATTTTCTTTTCACTGGTTTTATTTATTTAGAAAGAAAAGTTTTAAATCTGTAAAATAATTACGGTCATAATCATTGATTTACGCTTTCAAAAGCAATGTACATCTTGAAAATGTTTGGCTAAAGTACTATAAAAATATAAGCGTTAAGCTATAGCTATAGTCTTAGTTGGTAGCTGCTAATATAGAGCTGTATGATTACGTGAAGACAACTAAATCTATGATATTTCAATGTTACAAAAAAGTTCGGTAAAAAGTAAAAATTAGGTTTATGTTTTCACCTTTTACCTACTTTGATACCTTGTTACGTTTAACTTGATGAGAGTTGATAAACTGATTACAAACTATTAATGATCATTTTTAGATATTTTCTTGTAGCTCAAATATATCATAATTATAATAATATATTATTGCAAAGAAAATGTTACATCAGTTACGTGAGTTACAATTAAATATTTTCATACTAGGTGGTTTATAGAGCTGACCTTATAAATCAAATATCATTTTAACATGGTTATTTTATGATCCTAATCAATGCACTTGAAGGTTTTGAATAAAATACTATAAAACACAGAAGGTAAATTAAGTACCCTGTATTTTACACTAATTGTCTAGTTTACCAAAAGCAGTTAGTATTTAGTACTCATATTGTGGCATATTTTTATAAGGATAATTGTAGCTCGGTTTGAATGGTCCCCAACCATAATGATCGGATAGCGGATCATACACGATGTTATGAATGTTTACCACCGCCGTCGCAGTCTTTGGTAACGTAATATTATTGTTGTTGAAAACTTCTTGTGACTCAAAAGCTAAAGAATTTTTCAAACATAAACACTGCACCAAACTCACTGGACAACACCATAAATAAACTAAAATTTCTGTAATACAAAATTAAAATTGAAATAGTTTGAGTGGATCTTCATACTAACTGTATATTAATAATACAGGAAAAACTGTTAAGAGTATTTTAATAAATAATAATATTTTAACACAACTTTTAGTTATGCTATTAGATTTTTTTAGAACAGAAAGATATAAAAATATGCAAATTTCAATATTGAGTTATACATCAACAACTAAATACGTAAATAATAGGTACCTCAATTAGGTACCTCAGACAGGTACATAAATTTACCACTGGATAAATATATTAAAATACACGATTTTAAGGTAAATTAATATATATTATTTATATGAGCACGTTTAAACCCACTATTTATTGTGGTGAGAACAGGTAATAAAAATTATATTTATTTGAAATTATAAATAAATTATAATTTTGGATATTTATGTTTAATTGCAACTATAGTATATAACTATAATATATACACTCTGTATACATACTTGTAGGTGTGTGTAATTACTTCATCAAAACCCAACATCCTAACCTAAAAAAATGTACTCTATATATTTATACTCACAGCTAACAGTACCTCCACGATAAATATAAAAATAGCTTACAATGATTCTCTGAACAAAAATATTTTAATACATATAAATAAAACAAATAATAAATTTTATGAATTAAAATATTAATGTATGTTACTAGTTTAAATTTATTTTAATTCAACGTGTATAAAATACAGATTAATCAGCTTTTTATACTTTATATTGAACTACAAAATTATAAATAATTTTTACTCATTTTATAATGTATTTTATACGTATTTTGGTAAAATAAATTGTGTTATTATTTGGAAAATATAATAGCATAATGAATTCGATTAAATCTAAAAAAAAAAAAAAAAAATTAAGTAAAAGTAGATACTTACGTAAAAGAACCACACCAATGACAGATATTAAAATGAGGATTAAAAAATCCAGTACATTAATTTTTAATAGAATTATGGATGTTAAGACTACGTATAATATAACAAATAACCTTATAAGTTCGAGTATTATGTACGGTAGCATAAAAATAATTGAACTCTGAAAACATTTATAATACTTAGAGTTTTATGATTTGTTAATTTAATAATAACCAGCGTTTTTACCTTTAGAGCTCCATATATTAATGCAATACAACTAATAGTGTAAAACACAAAATATATCATAATGTTTGTAATTAAAAACATTGGATCTGTAAAAACAGACAAATAATTTTTAAAATATATGAAATTAAAGTTATTAAATGTACTTGTGCATGCATTTATAGACACTTATTATTATTCGAATTTTGAGTTGGTATATCATTGTTTTTGATACTTTTTAGGAAAAATCCTGAAGCTGAAACTACTTCTAATGAAAGCATACTAGTCAAAACCTGGAATAAAATTGCAATACTAATCCGAGACTACACTAGAATATTACATTAAAAAAACCATGGAAGTCGGGGACCAATTTGAAAGTAGCTATTACACTATTTACATTATTTTCTATAATCACATTTGGTTGAAAAAAATGATAAAAAGATAATTTAAGTAATTTACCTATTTTTTTAATCAGTTTTTAATGCAGATTTTGACTATAGTTAGATGTATAACAGAATATATAAGCTTTTTATGATTATATAATAAATTAATAACCAATTAATGTTTAAACATGATAATAAGTGGAATAATGAAGAAACCATTTATCATTGTACCCGTATTGTCACACGTATATAATTTTGACTTCCTACCACTATCATTTTTATTAAATATTTCGAAGTGTCTTACTTTAAAAAAATCATCCTAATAGCGAAGTATAATATAAATATTTTTTCAATGTATTAATATATTTAAATATTATATATACCTAATTTGCTTTTGGTAATACTATTAATTTAAAAAAATTAATTTTACCTTTTTCGATTACTCTCCAAATTGGTGTCGTGTAAAACATGTTATTTGAGCAAAGCAATTTATTTATTTCATGTGATATGGTATCTGTCATATTCATACTGATAAGACAAACCAATCCAATTAAAATCGACTGTGCCTAGAAAAATACATTTTACAAATCATGAGCCGAGAATAAAGTAATGAGGTGAATTAATTGATAAAAAGGGAAATTGCGTGGGACAATAAATTACAAATTCGTAATAGGCTTTAATTTCAAGTTACTTAATAATAATTAATGTTCTGATCGAATATTAAGGGAAGTAATCCTTCACCCCACTTTAATATAATTTATAATAATTAATAATGATAGTATATATTAGATAATAATACTGACAAATTTAGTGATCATTTCCAAAAATAAAATAAAATAAAAATTCGTAAATGGTAATTATTTTTTAATCTTAAAATCTTAAAAAATCCTAAACAATTATAATTCATAGAAAAAAATCTAAAAGAAAACTTGTGAATTAGGATTTTATGCATATATTATATTGTTTTCGTTACTTCATAATGTTTTCAGAATTTCTCATTACTAGTTTCACCATAAATAAACAATCTTAAAATAAAAAAAGATATCTTGTAAAGCAAAGTAGTTATGGCGTTATAGTAATAGATTGTCGATGTAAAAACATTTTAGAAGATATTTTAAAACATGTATGTATGTTACTGATTCTTAAATTAAATTATTTTTATTAAATATTATTTTATAGTGTGCTTACATTATTATACACTAAAATCAATTATACACTACAAGGTATTCTTATATGAACAGTAAAATAAAATATATAATAACTATAAATATGCTTACTAATGATATTAATCCAACGATAATGCTTCCAAGACGCAAGGGTATCCATGTACAACATGTATACATAACCACCATTTAAATAATAATATAAATATTACCATAAATATATAAATAATATATTTAAAGCATTCCACTAAGGCAAATATTTTAGATTACCATACAAATTATATTTCTGAGTAATTCTAGTTGGAATATTATTAAATATACATAATATTACTTAGGTAAAATACTATAGAATATTGTGTATAGTGTTTTGTAAATTCAAAATGAACATATTGATTTCTTCATTACATATGACATGTTATGATAATCAACTGATCTTGACAATGATAAAATAGAATAAATTATACACCTTTCGGCCTTCGCCCTTTGGTAGCTTAGCGTGCCACAAATCACAATTTAATAAGTATTACATTTTTCCAATGTACAACGATAGGGAACGGATTTATATGTAATAAAAATACAGAAATATGTACATATATATGTAAGTATAATTTATAAAATATGTGCTAAAAACATCCAAATATGTGGGGGAAAAAAATTTAAAAAAAAAGTGATTATTATTATTAAATTATCAAAAAGATTTGTTGCATTGAATTATTACAATATCTTATAAATTATCAAATGTTAAATGTCGCCTATTAGGTAACAAAATATTTTTAAAACGGCTAAATTATCGTTTCACATCAACTGATGTATTAAAAGCATATTTCAAGTGCATACTATCAGAAGGTAATAATTCCAAATTTTTAAAAGGTTTTCTGCCATTCATTATGTCATTGATTGTTTTAAAATCAATATTGCCTGGAATTTTTTTCTGTAACAGCATGAATTTTCTTTTTTACAACATCTATTGGTCCGCTTACGAGTTTTAATCGCTGATTCAACAATTTGCATACTATCATTTGGGGACATATTTTTTATTAATAATTTTGTTAAATTATTTTTAATTAAAATTAAATTATTTTCAATGATTCATTTTGCATAATATTTTGAGCTTTTCCAATAGCGATAAAAGTTTCTGGATCTAATTTTGAAATAATTTCTTGTATTTTCGTACGAATAAGACGTATGAATGATGAAATGATAAAAATATGTTTAAAAATATTTAAAAATTAGTGAAATATGTAAAAATATATAATTATACCAAAATATGTAAAAATATGTAAAATAAAAGTATCATAATTTTAATAGGAATGATTTAAATCATAAACATTTTTTATCGAATCTTAAATATCTCGTTTTAATAAAAATATGCATTTACATATAAATCCGTTCCCTATACAATGATATATTACACATTTGTTCAATGTATACATACCTAACATTTATACTGGGTCCAGTACAAAAATAAATTGTTCTGAAAAAAAAACAATATTTTTTTAGTTAATACATGACTGATCAAGTATATATAAAAGCAAAAAAATGTAGTTTTTGAAGGAGGTTCCCGGGTTTCAACCGCCACCCTCCCCCCAAAAAAAAAAAAAAAAAGATAAAAAAAGATTCAAACGACATAAATTACTTGCTACGGAGAAACAGAAAAAGAGAAATTTTAATTAATTCATATGGTTGTAAATAAATCTTCAATTGTATTTATAATAATATTGTAATTATATGATTATTAATTCATTTCATTAATGTAATTTTTATAATATTAAAAAATCACTTATTTTTTAGAACAATTTTAAACCCCTCACAAAAAATTTTAAAATACGACATTGTATATATATACCACAAAAAAGTACTTCGAAGAAGTAAAAAAGGCTTTATGTGCGTAAGTTGAAGCGATTGGGAGAAAAGATAGAATTTTGATGTTAATAAATAAGTGAAATCAATCTCAAAATTCTATGCCAAAAAGGCCCAAAGTTGAAAAAGTAGAATTTGGAGCTTAATAAAGAAAATAAATCAATACCCAAATTCTATGCCGAAAAGGTTCATTGTTGAAATAGTTCCTGGATTTTGAGGTTAATAAAGAAGTGATAATAATACCAAAATTCTGTGTCTCAACTTGAAAAAATATCAATTCACAAAAATTTCAAGTTATTCAACTGTAAAAATTTAAAAAAAAAAATTAGCACAGAACAGCGTATAATAAATCGGTGTTAACGAGTTAATCAGTCCGACTACAATTTTTGTTGACAATTTATAACTCGCACCATACTGTGCTGATTTTTTAAATAATCTCTGTGTAAAACGACCAATTCTTCTCAATGTATTATTTCCTTTATTTTTTCATATTCGAGATTTTATTGACTTTGTATATACCTGACGATGAAGTTTTGGTTGGAAATTGGTTATACAAAACAAATATAATAATTCTCCGGGGACTAAGCATTTATTTATTTCTATACATAACATATTTGTTTATTTATCTATAAATTCAGTGGCGTAGCTAGGTAAGAAAGACTTCCAGTTTAATAATAATAATTAGGCCTCTTCTAATATTATCTTAATATCAAAATTAAAAATAAACACGTTATATTGTTCTTTTAAATATGAATACTTACAATGAAAGGATAAACGAAAATATTTAACGGATTTTTAATATTTGAACAAAATAAAAAATAAATCCAGTTCAATAATATAAAAATCATATTGCATATTGCGTGAATTATTATTCTACTTAAACACTCGATCGTAATTAGAATTGATTTTGAATAAATAATTGCCACATACTATTTAATTTTCATATTAAATATTTACTGTTACTATTTTCCGTCTTGTTCTTTATAAAAAAGAATGTCTTTTCCCTGATGGTCATTAATAATTAAATTATCAAATTATCAAACTACCACGTATAATTAAATTTAACAACAATTTAAATTATTTGAAACGAGTACAGTCCCAGCATTTTACAAGGATTCCAAGGCCTTCTGTGCTTCAGAACTCCATGGCCAAAGACAGAGTTAACCCCCCCCCCCCAAATCAGGAAAAATATATATTAAGAATCAAGAATTATATAAATATATATATCATATATGAATTAAGTAAAAGATTTTTTTTTTTTAAAGTATGAGGGAAAGTATATGATTTGTATTTTTATTCATACAAGAAATTAGTAGTCTTAGATTTAAATTAATGTATTATATTACTTACTATTATCTTAATTTATTATCAATCACTGACTGCAATGTTAAAAAAATATCCCAAGGAAAAACGTTTTTCAACCCCCCCCCCCCCCAAAAAAAAAACTTTTATATACTTTTATATAGGTACTGTATATACTTATTTACTAAATTAAGTTTATTTATATAATTAAATTTTTAAGCATTTTTCTTGAACAAAATGCAGTTCAAGCATTACCATTTTTTAACCCAAGTACAATTCGACTTTACCCATGTGATAATATTAATTAAGAATTTATAATTTAATTACATTTCATAACCTTTAAAAAAAATTAAATAAAACAAGCTTTAAATAGCTTTTTTTTAATTAACTTTTATAAAATAACTATCCAACCATCTTGTTACCCAAAGCTCCACTATATTATTTCTACACGTGTACTATATACATATGTTAAGACTTATGCAATCATGCTAGATTTAATATATACACAATAATTACACAAATGAATAATTGCAATTTTTAATCTACCGTTTAAATTGTTCAATGGACCTTTACTACGTAAAGGTAGTAAAGTATTTGATCAAAATAAGAAATTTATATACATTATATAAATATAAACAACGCGATTACGACCGATAATTGGACGTAAAACGTCAAAATATTACCAGATAAAGCGAAAAATCCCGAAAAATTATTATTGTATTATTGTCATTCGTGTCAATCTAGTCTCGACGTCTACGAAGATACTGAGGAAAAATCGAATATTTGATAATCGAATTAATAAATAATTAATTAATAATCATTTTGGTGCAAATTACAAATTCTATTTTCGACTACCTGAGGGTGGTGCAAATTACATACCCTTAGTTTGGTGCAAATTACATATCTTTAATTTGGTGCAAATTACAAATTCCCATTTTTTTAACTATATCACAAATTGTTAATTGCATTATAAAATTAATAGATATATAAAATGTATGTCTATAAAATTACTAATTTTAGTATGATAAAAATGTGTATTGGCTTAAAATTGTTTGGGCCCCTCTAACTTGAGTACTCGAGAGGGCCCCGGGGCTACCGCCCAGATAGACCCTCCCTTAATCCGGCTTTGCGTATATAGCTGTGACTGTTGAATTTTTACAATTAGTCTTGTTTTTTCTTCGTCTGCGTTGACTTAGTACATCATTTCTGATATTTACAATTAAATAACAATTATGAGTTCTATTAAGATAGTACTATTAACTGGAGGTCATAGTGACATATATTAATAAAATAATTAATTGCTAAATACTTAATAATTTTAAATGTATGCATATTTTCAAGAAGCAATTATACAACACTTGGAGGTACTTATAGGTACACTATATATAGTAGATAAAAATTAAATAACGTAATATACCTTTAATTTAAATTTTTTAATTTTTGTTTATAATAATATAATATAAAAACTTTTTTTATACTTTTTTAATGTAAGAAATATTAATTAAAAAAAAAAACCGTCAATCAATTCTTTTTTAGTCTATAAATTATTATAAATTAATAAATTATATCGATATCGTTATCGTTTGTTTTTCAATATCACTATATGATATCGACATTAATGAACCGATATCAACAACGGAAAAAATATCGTTGTGCATCAATATTAATTATAATTTAAAGAATTTCAGACGTATCTCAAAACGTCGTATACACCAATACTCCAATTCAGGACTCAAGAATACCCGAATTTATTTTTCCATTTAATTTTGCCATTTCGGTTGATTCAAATATAAAATTCAATGTGATAACTCAAATGATTTGTTTTGCTGGCTTATACTTTAGTGGTGCCATTTGAATTTTTTAATATGGGTGTTATTATTTAAACAGGCCAATTTTTTTCTGATGTCCCAACACATAGGTCCGTAAGAAGAAAATGTGATTCAAGTGATACTGATTAATTTAATGTAGTTTATATTTTGAATTTTTTTGCATTTTATGATACATTTTATTTCAAATGTATTTTTAGGGCATATTTCAAGTTATTAGCGTATTTTTCAAAATGTATCTATAAATTCTTAAATGTTAGAGTATTTGATTACCTATGCGTTTCGGCATTTATTCGCTTAAAACTAGCACTTTTAATATGTAATCTACTAAACCGATAAACTAATAAATACCTACGAGCATATTGACCCATGTACTTATTTTATCAAAAATAGAACAAAATTAATATAGTCCAAAGAAACTTTTCTATTTATAAGAGCCCAATGACGATTATAACAGCAAATTATGAAATAAATATTAATATTTAACAAATAAGTACCTATTTTATTAATATTATGTTAAATAAATATAATTAAATATGTTAGGTAATTTTTTTTTTATAAAATACTTTAACTATAATAAATAAATAAAAGATACGCATTTTTTCATTTCTTTTAGATCATTAAAATCCCAGCTATGACCATTAAATCATTTAATAGTTAATTTTAGGATCTAAAATTACATTTTTACCCTTTTGAGTGATGAAAAACGTTTCAATAGTCACGTTACTAACAAGAAGAGTTATCTTTGACGTAGGTATTTTAATTGTTTCTGAAAATGTCTGAAAAGTATTAAAAAGTCTTCGCTACGGAAAAATATAAATCCTTTGGTGTGTCTTTGAGAGAAGCAGAGTGAGCAGCTGCTTTTCCAGCGACTTATTGGAGGGTTTTACTATCGCAGTTGTTTCTGTAAATATATTTAACAATTGCAATTGTTTTTAATTACCTAATGATAATTAATATTTAATAAAAAACGACGTTTATAAAAATACTGTATATCAGGGATGGGCAACTCGAAGTTACTAGAGGGCCAATTTTTAGAAAATTTAAATATAGCGGGCCAGAGCATAGAAAAAAAAAAAAGGTCATTCAAAATATGAATTTTAATTAGTATTTATATATATGGAAATAATAAATTCAACACACACGATAGCATAATCCGAATGGTACGAAGAAACTAATATAGTTAAATAATTTAGTAACAGCTATGGTTGAAAGCCATACTTATACAAACATATGACATTTAGATATTTAATACTAGATAACAATTATTATATTGATAAGTTAGAACATAAATGATAAACTTTAAAATTGTAAGATGTAATTTTAAAACATATTAAGGGCCAGATAAAAAAGTTTACGGGCCAGATGCGGCCCGCGGGCCGCCAGTTGCCCACCCCTGCTGTATATCATGGCCACTCACAGATGTAAACTGGGGAGGTCAAAGGGGGGAGGAAATTGCTCCTTAGAATAAATTAGGAGGGGTAGTGTCCCCTCTGATATTTAATATAGGTACCTTGTTTTAAAATAAATACAAAACAGCTAGTTATAGCTATTAATAAAACATTTTTTTTTTTAAATCGTAATTTTCCCTTATCTAACATAATGTTAGAAAATGAATAATTTTATATATGTAGGTAGTTAAGCGGCGTCTAGCCTCGGACAACCTTTTCGTTAGATATGTAATTATATTTTTACCCCCCTAATAAATTTCCAAGTTACACCTATGTGGTCACCTATCATACTAGTCAGTTATTCAAATTTTAGATGTTACAATATTTACATAAAAAGTTACAGGTGTTTACATTGTATACCATGAGAAAAGAGTCACAACTATTAAGTAGGTATATAGATATTGTATGTAAAAAATAAAATTTTACCATTTGCCTACCCAGCCATGGAGGTCTGGATACGCTTACGATATATTTAAGTTTTTTCAACCAAATACATGGTATCAAGTAAGAAAATATAAGTACATTGTAATTTACATAACAAGCAATTAATACACTTGAAATTTTTTTTCATAAGACTCCTCAATATCATTATAAATTGAAAAGTGGAAGTTTTCTTGAGTAATCCATATGCTTATCAGTTTGGGCTCCTTACAAAGTTAATATACGTATCAATTAGAATACTTAAATTTATTATACCATTCATACCTAGCAATAAAAACACTATCCGGAAAGTTGGAAATATCATTGACTATGCATATCAATAAAAAATACATACAAATATTAAATACTTGTAATATACATTACCTTACATAATATTATACATTTATATTTTATACGCATTATATTAATCATAACAAATAATACATTTTAATTATTACATATAGGCCTATATATAAAGTTTAAGTCAGGCAAATAAGATAGAAAAAAATTGGGGTGCCAAGGTACACGTTGCACCCCTGTCTATACTACGTTAAATTATTGTAAAATTGAACATTTATAATTAACTAACCAACACAACAGTAGATGGAAAAAAAATTATCGTCCGATGATAACAACATAATAATCTATAAGTATGATTCTCAAGTCAATAAAATATATTAGCATGTGTTCAGCAACAAAAACCCGGTGTCTTGTTTTGTTAAGTATCACAAAGCCACAAATGTACTACCTCGCTTTAAAGACTATATATAATTAAAACCCTACTGCCTATTGAAAACTAATAGACAAAAAATAATATTCATTGCTTCAAAATTGTATAGAAAAATATATTATTTATTGGTACCTATGTTTTATTTACTATATTTATTATGAACCCCACTTCTGAAACTTACAAGTACCTATGAACTACGTAATATAACAATACTGTTTGCAAGTTTACCCACTAATTACTTTGGCAATTTAAACATAATAGGTTTATTATTAATAAATATAATTTATATTGATATATTCTCAATCTATTCAGCTATTATAATGAACTTAAAACACTTTATAATTGACTTATCAGAGATAAGACAGTAATTTTTTAATATTTAACTATATTTAAGCATTCCATTGAAGTATGCATAAGTATGTATAAATTTATCTGTATAAATATGCACAGTATTATTTAATTTTCATTATTTTAATATTAGCATATAACCTCAAATATGATTGCAGCAGGATTTGTTTTTTAGTCTAAACTAACAGTTTCAAGGACCATTTAAATTTTAACAAATTGAGCACAACTACTGTCCACCAGTAAATCTTAATATAATTATCATAACTGGAATAAATAATCTAATTGAAAAAGTAGGAAATGAATAGTTACTAATTAACTAAATAAAAATAATTATAATAATAATTAAAAATTAAATCCAAATTATGGTCTTTTAATAAATACAACTTCAATTAAAACCTATACAAAAATAACCGATAACATAATGCATTGATAAAATATACACCCAACTACAATAATTCTTTGAACCAAAGTAATTATTTTTACATTTGTGAAATGTAACACATATTACCTTCATTAATTATAAATTTTTGTCTACCATTTTCAATATATTATATAAATAATTTTATATTTAAATTGATATGATAATATTAAAGCTTTCTATGTATTTGACTGAAAGGAAAAATAAATAAATTGTCATAGTTGTTAATACTTATACATTTTACTAATCAAAATAACAGCGAAATCTCATTTAAACAAGGTTGTATCTATATTTAATGTCCAAACTGAAAGTAATTAATCAATAACAATTAAAAACTAGTGTATCTTTGATAAATATTAATTTACAATGGTTCAGGTGTTTTAAAAATAGTACTAATTATTTTTTCATCTTTGTTAACTGTGATAATTTCTCCATTTTCTTTTGGTTTGCTAAAAAATTTAAATTATTAAAATGATTTAATATCTATATTCTTTTATAAAAATATTACATACCTGTTTCCTGACCATAAACTGTGTTTATTAACAAACAGTAGTAACATTAATGCTGGTAAATGTATAAGAGAAAATCTAAATAAACTGCGAGAGGTTTTACTATCAGACTCTTGATGAAATTTCCAAGCTAAAAAAATGTTATTAACAAATATTTTTAAATATGAATAAATTAGTAAAACGTATACATACCTAAGTACACAAAATATGCATTAAGTGGAGCAACAGCTATTGAAAAATAAATGTTTGTCAATTCACATAATGGAGCAGCACAACACAAACCAAATATACCAATAGTATAGCGTAAAGCTGTTCTTCTGCATAAACCTAAGTACAAAAATGTAAAATAAATAATAACCATTAGTAATAAACAAAAATTTTTACCTGGATTAGTAACAGACATCATTCTGTAACCAGCTCTTGAATAATCCGGTCGAAGATTCCATGAAAGTGCATTAAAATGTGGAAATTGCCATGCATAAAGAAGACCAGCAAGCAATAAACCACCAGAATCAATTACTCCACCAGTACAACCTGCCCATCCCATTAATGGAGGAATTGCACCAACTAAATATATATAAATATAATAATAAATAACACAATAATAATTCATAATTCATAAAATAAATAAAACCATCACAACTAAAAAAACAATATTATTTATATTTTATTACCTACTGAACCAACCCATGTGTTTAAGATACTAATACGTTTCATTGGTGTATATATGGATGTATACAAAATTAGATTTGCAGCACCCAGGGCAGCAGTTACAGGATTAACGCCATAATATAAAGTCATTAATCCTAATGATCCACTAACTGCCGCAAATGAAAGAGCATGTAATGGTCTAAAATTAACATTAAATTATATTTAATAATAAAAAATTAATTTTTTTATCATATTAGTTAATATTTTAAAAAATATAAATATTTCATCAATTTATTCTAAAAAAATAATTTATATAAATACAGTGAATAAATAAATTATTAAAAAGTTAAGTACTGCAAATACAGGTTATACCATAAATTACACAATTTAAAGAATTTATAATAAAAGCAAATTGTTCAGAACTAAACATATTTACAATAAAATAAAAATCATATTATTGTAAACCATGAAATAAATAATAATGCTCAAATAGCTTAATCCAGTACAACACATTTGAGAAAAAAAAATAGAATTTAAACAATTACTAAAATTATTAGAATAAGTGTTTAAGAGTGTGAATTACAAATATTCATATATAATCATTAATAACTAATAAGTATCCAAATTATTGAACATCAAAACCGAAAAAAAATTATTTTAAGTTTAATATTGGCAGACAAGCAGTTATACACCAAATTAGTTAATTATTAAAAAAAAAAAACTAAAATAACAACCAATACCAAATAAAAAATCAAAGTTCCTTAAGCATATTTAATATTTAATATTATTATAATCTAAATACTAAAAATTAGTATTGGTCATTTACCTAATCAAACTATTTACTCATAACTAAATTCTAAGTCCACAAGACTAAAAGACATTTTAACAATAATTATAAATTATAACATACATATTACATAACAAAATATAATAAATGGTGCAATATAAATTAATAACAAAATATATATTGCATGTTATTAATAAAACAACAATGGTTAATTTAATATAATTGTATTATTTATTACTCATAACTTACGATAATATGCCTCGGACAAGCAATCGATTTTTAGTTCTAGACATTTGGGCATCAAATGGAACTTCATGATATTGATTAATAGAATTGGCTGCTCCAGATACTAAACCAGTACCAACACTACATAGAATAAATGATGTTAAATCAAATGGGGCTGGTGCCATCGCGTAACCAGCCATTGTTGTTACAACCACCAAAGCTACAAAAAAAAATATAAAATTTAATTCATAATATTTTAAAAATTTAAAATATTTTTACTTGTTAAACGACTTTTTGAAAGCTTTAAATAATGCTGGTGTAAATCTTTCAAATGTATTCTTGATTCCGTCCATTCTTTTTCTATGCGTGTTTTTTCATTAACATCACTTTTAGACTCAACTGCTGATGGTTTGATATTTGGTAATATGGGTAAGGACTTATCAACAGCTATGGTTGTAGCCACTAGTGGCTTTGGTTTTAATGATGACTGTGTGATCTATTGTAAATTAAAATAATAAATTATTTTTTAGTTGGTTATATTTTGTTAAAAAGGTGATAAACAAAAATAAATTTGTATGGTTTACTATTTAAAATTTTAAAATCTAAATCTAATGAAAATACTTAACATGAAAAAAGTATTTTAACAATTAAATTCATGAAACAAAATGTATTAATTAATATTATTTTTCCTTCGACCAAGCATTAGATAAATTGATTGATATTCAAAATAAGCCACAATTAGCTATATTTATAAAATACAATTTTCATATAAATGAAATATATGTATTTCAAAATAAGTTATAAGATATTGAACTTAAGAAATATAATTAAGGAAAAAATATCTTTACAAATGTATATTTATACATATTATTAAACACTTTTGTTTATAGAAAAGAGGAAGTCATCAGTAACAACATGTCACCATAAGAAAACATTTTTTAAATATAACATACATATAATTCCTAAAGGAATATAAAAAACCTATATAAAATACTATAGTTCAAACATTTTTTTTTATTAAGACAATTAACAATCTGTACACAATAATTACAATAAGCAAATTAGATAAAATAAAAATAACAAAGTAACATGAATATCTAGTTGAGGAAGAAACCCAATGGTAATACCTCTTTTACTAATTTAATAGGTCTCTATACCATTTACGTTTTAGTCTGTGTGGTGGGTTTTTTAGGAGGGTAAGGGAGGACATGTTTGATATTAATGTATTGCTATGCATGTTTAAATTTTGGTGGAAACGTTTATACATTGTTTTGGCTAGTTCAATAGTAGTTAATATTTTTAAGTCGTTGTGCAAGGTAGAGTTTGAAACGAAACCAAGGGGCTTTGGTTAGGAACCTTAGTGTAATTGATTGAAAAGCCTGAATTAGCCTGATGTTCAAGGGCTTTACTGGACCCTAGATTGCTATTCCATAAGACTGGTCTTATGGTTGACTTATATATAATAAGTTCGTTTTGGAGTGTTATTTTGGAGTTTAGGAGTGGTTGGAGGAGGTGAAGTCTGTTATTCGATGATTTTCTTTTTTCTTTTAGGTGGGGGCCCCAGGTTAGTCTTTTATCAAGTGTTATGCCTAAATACTTGATTTTGATTTGGACAGGGATGGGGGCGTTGTTCGTAATTAATTGAGGACACTCACAGGGAGATTGTTATAATGTGAAAGTAACTTGCACAGATTTTTCTGTATTAATTTTTATTTTCCATTTTTTGACCCATTTTTCAATTTTATTAGCATGATCCTGAAGTTCAACTGGAGGAAAGGATAACTGTGTCATCAGCATATGTTGCTAGAAGGGTGTTACTAGATTGAGGGTTCAAAAATTAAATTGCAATCACTTTTTTTTGGTTGTAGTTCAGAGCTTTCAACATCTGTAGTTATTATATCTCAATCATTATTTTTAAGACTCTATTATTAGTTAAATATTGAAGCATGATAGGTCAAATTCATAGGCACAAATCGGGGGGGCTTGAGGGGACTAAGCCTCCCCAGAAATGCAAAGTACAGGTCTTAGCCTCTCTAGTCCTAAAAATACAATAATTAATATAATTGTAAAAGGCATTTTTAATAACTGAATCAAAACAAAATATTCTGTGATAAAAATTAAATCAAATTCATAAGATTTTACAAACTTTGTCATGACTTGGAACGATCGTAATTAATGTAACATAAACAATATGTAATAATACTTACATTGATTGTTTAATTTAATTAATTAATAATTTCTGTTTAGAATACCAACTCCAAAAATATTTAAGATAAGTCACCTAATTGTTTTTTTGGTTAAATTGTTGAATATTTCAAACTGTCAAACTTTGAAAATTGTCTTGTTGAAATAAATAATTGCGTACAGGGGTACCTGTAGGTGTAATAAGCAAATAATACTCAGCCCCCCCCACTAATTTTACCAAATTTCCGCTTATGATCAAATTACTGAATTCTCACATGATTATCCATCTCAATACTAGTGACCAGAGAAGTGGATTAACCAGGATCAACAATATGGCAAACAAACAACTGCTCGACCACACCATGCCCCAAATCTATTATTTATACTTAACTATTAATAGATCATAAAAATATATATTTTAAATTGCACGCAGAGAATTACTTATACTGTTAGAAATCAAAATGATTTTTATAATTAAATAATTAATGTATGTACATTATGTTAGTTACCAATATACTTTAAAGAGGGGTAGGAGTACCTAACCTCATCGATCCTCCCTGGTATGTCAATGATATAAATTCAAAATACTTTTATCATGTTATTTTTAATAAAAATATAAACATATTTCCTTCAATTTTTATACGCTCAATTTATTACTAAATTGCTGATGTTACACAACACTTGGCAATATTTAATAAAATACTTTTATGTCAATTTAAATTAATTATTAAGTGATTCGACATAAGATAGTGGATACGCTTAAAATATACCAAATAAAAATTAATATATTTTGAACAATTAAACTGTTTTAATAGTAAAGTCTATTTACTATTCCAAATAATAACAATATATATTTTACCTGGACAAAATAAAAAATCTATGAAAAATAGAATTGTTTCTATAATTTAATTAAATTATTATTATTGTTAATAATAATCACTATTTATAATAACTAACATGTTGATCATCCCTTTAATGTTAGTCAAAACACATTACCTGTCGGCGGAGAAATGAACATGTCAAACATGTATAGACATTTTTGACTTGAAAGCCATCGTGATGAATGGCCCTTACAAGATGATTCATAGTGAAAAAAAACTGATGGATTAGAAAAATCAATCATTTTCATTTAATGAGCCTGTAAAACAAAATTCTACATTATGACCTCCACAATTACTACAGTAATTAAAATAAATGTAAAATAGTAAATTATTATACGAGTTGTCAAAATATATCATAATATTATGGTCAAATAAATACCTGTAAAATCAGACCCATTTAACATGTATATATATAGTCTTAATTGTTGCAAATATATTACACCGTAGAAAGAATCCAACAAAAGACGACAGACCGAAGAGATGGTTTCAGAAAAATGTAATCAGATGCAAATGTTCTTGTAGTATCTTTGTTATCAACTCGGTTTCGAAACTGTAGACGACCGTCCTTCAAATGTTTCTAACATCTTATTTGTCATTTTACACACTTTATCATTGATTATATATAAAGTATATATATATATAATCAATGATTTTACATGTGGTTTTCTACAATCAAAACTTTTGTCATTTATCAAAACTGTGATAACAAAGTTCGTACAAAACAATTATCAGATTTCAAGGCATTACATAAACATAATCTTATTAAAATTAAATTGTAAAAATCATAAAACTCTGTGTCTAATAATTATCTGTTATTAATTTGTTATGATCCTTGAAAATTAATCAAAATGATTTATATTGAACTTTAATACACAACGACGTTAAATTTTTCTAAAAAATATATAAATATTACATCATGTAAGCAAATCAATAGTGTAGTTCTGCAATATTTTTGATACATTTTTCAAGAATAATACGCATTTATTAAAGTACTATTTTGAGTAAGTTTCCATCAAAATGTTTTAGATTTTATATATATTTAGTCAACAGAAAAATTAGATTTAATATACACACACACATATATATATATATATCCGGTGGATCAATGTAGTTTCCAAGGAATTGAAAGCTATAGACCAGAATGTGACATATGAGTTAACTTATAATAGAGAGAGATGGAGAGACCTGTTGAAGGCAGCAATAGCCCTTAATGGACTGGTATGCTGAGAAAATAAAGAAAAATATATATATATAATGTTCCTCGCATTAAATATGAAATATATAGCTATCATTCAGTTTAAGTATCTTATTTAACATTATAAGAAAATAATTTTTTGAAATACATCAATTATACATTCTTAATGCCTTAATCATACTATTCTTGATAGATTTCAGATCTTAGTTAAATAAATAAAATGGAAGTAATTGGTGATTATGAATATAACAGTGCGAATCGTTTGGGACTTGGAGCTTTTGCTATTGTCTTTAAGGGTCGGTCCAGAAAGGTAAATCACATGGACAATTATAAGCTAGCTACAATTATTTTAATATATTTACATATTTATTGTCATCTAAATAATTTATTTAATTTTATTATTATTAATATCAGAAACCTGATATGGATGTTGCTGTTAAAACAATAATGAAAAAAAATATACCAAAAACTCAAAGTCTATTGAAAAAAGAAATTGATATTCTAAGGGTAAATATATTCATAATACTTGTACTATTTTACTAGTCTATTGGCAATGATAATACATAATACATTGTATAATTTATATTAAAGTCTAGTATACTATCCATTAAACAATTAAATACTTAATATATGTTTTTATAATTTTTTTTTTTTCATTTATCTGTTACTTGCCAAGTATAAATATCAATTGAATGTATTTTCAAAATGTTAATTTTTGATATCATTAACAAAAATATTTCTTTATAATTTTTATGTTTTTATTGCTTTAAAATTTATAGTTTATATCACATTAGGTTTCATTAGGCAATTTCATAGTTTATTTATTCATCTAATTGCAAAATTAAATTGCACTAATATAATCTTATATAATTAATTTAATTATTCTATTTTAGTGGTGTTTCAATAAAATCCAATTTCCTCGAATTATCTACTAATTAATTGTTTCATTAAATAAATAATTTGTTTACATTTTGAAATATTTTATTTTTATTCTGTTTATTATAAATTAGTATATAATAGATGTTAAATAAAATGTATAATTGAAAAAAATTAGTTTTCAAGTATTAAATTTACTAAGAACACATTCAATTTTAATTTGAAAATATTATAATAAAATTAATCAAATTGTAAAATAAGTATTAATATTTAATACATTTTTTTATTTTAGAAACTAACTGTTCTTCAACATGATAATGTTGTACATCTTCTAGAATGTCTAGTAAGTACTGCATTATAATTTATATCTTTGAATTTGTTTTGTTAAAATTTATTTTATTTTTGTGACCTTAAATTTGTTTAGGATACAGACGATGCATTTCATTTAGTTATGGAGGTTTGTAAAATTATATTTAATTTAATTTTTATTATTTAAGTATATAAAGTAGTGTTGGCTAATGTCCTTGGAATATAACTTGTAAATAAAATTATCAAAATTAGATATGTATAAAAAAATTGTATTTTTACATTCTCTACATCAGAAGGAGTATTAATATTTTAACCAATATGCAGTACATACCTCAAAGTATTAACTATTAAACACAAAGTAGAACAGTGTACACAATCCTTTATATGTGCCTACATGTACCATCCTACATAGTAAAAGCAGTTGACAAAATCCAAACTCTGAAAATTATCATTTTCTTAAGTATCACAAATATTATTAGTAAATTGTTATTTTAAACCTAACTTACTCTATGTAATATAGTAATTTTATACCTAACACCTAATATATGTAATATGTAACATCTTATAGCTAATAACCATTGCTGTTGATGCCTTCATTTTCAAATTAAAAAAAAGTATAAATAACTCAAATTCAAAAATAAAACAACATGATTACTATAATATGATTGTGAATTATGTTTTAAATTATTGTATTTTATTTATCATTAAAGTAATTACAAATTAAAAAATTTAATTTAAAATTAATAATTTTTATTATTTAAGAAAAATAATATTAGTAATTTATATTGTTTGATATTATGGTACAATTAGGAAAATAAAATCAATAATATAAAATAATCATTGGCCAACACTAATATTAAGTACTACTAGTTAATATTTCTTGGTTTTTGTTTTAGTATTGTAATGGCGGCGATTTACAAGATTATTTAAATGGTATTTTTTGCAATATTTTATGATTATTAAATTTAATATATATTATATATTATAATATTATGATATTTAAACTCATTTAATCAACTGCTAACTTAATATAATTTATTTAACATAAAGCTTTTTCCAATTTTTTTTTTTTTTTGTTTATTATATTTTTTATCATACTTTATTTAACTTTTTTTTATAAATATGAATAATTTTATTACATTTTAAATTATTTTATCTAAAAATTTAATGTTATTATTTTTATTATAGTTAAAGGCTGTTTAAGTGAAGACACTATTCAAATATTTCTAAGACAACTTGGTATGTTATAATTTTTATTTATTTATCAGAGTATTAAAATAAAATATTCCAATTGTATTATATTTCAGTTGGTGCTATGTATGAATTTAATAAACAGGGCATACTACACAGAGATTTAAAGCCTCAAAATATACTACTGAAGTTTTCAGGTGAAACTCGTTATCCAGAACCTAATCAAATCACTTTAAAAATTGGTACCTAAGCATTTTTATTTTAAGTATATTGTAATATCAAGAATAATTATTTATAACTTATTAAAAAATTTTAGCTGATTTTGGGTTTGCACGGTTTTTGGATGAAGGAGTAATGGCTGCTACTATGTGTGGTTCTCCTATGTATATGGTAATATTTTTTAACAACCAGGATAAAATATTTTTCCTTTGATTAAAATAATATTTAAAAAATTATTATTTTTTTTAATTGTGTAATATATGTTTATTTAAGGCACCTGAAGTGATTATGTCGTTACAATATGATGCTAAAGCAGATTTGTGGAGTTTAGGCACAATCATATTTCAATGTTTGGCTGGTAAAGCTCCATTTTTTGCAAATTCACCAGCAGGATTAAAGCAAATCTATGAAAAAACTAGTAATCTAATGCCAAAGTATGTTTGATTAATTTAATGAAAATATTGTATTAAAAATAAATAAGTTTGTTTTAATTTTAGAATTCCTCCTGGAACATCATCGGACTTGTCAAATTTATTATATGGTCTTCTAAAAAGAAATCCAAAAGACAGAATATCATTTGAAATGTTTTTTGATCATCCCTTTTTGAAAATGAAACCACCACCGGTAACTATGCCTTCTCCGCTTGCCAACAGTCCAAAAACTCCATCTGCTTTTGATCAAGGTAAACTAGTTTCTATTTTTTTTTTTTTTTTTTATTGTTATTATTGAACTTTTTTTATTGAATATTTATGAACTTTGTTATTTTGCAACAAATGAAAAAAATTAAGTTTTAAAAGTTATTTATTTAATTAACATTCTAGGTTATCATTATTCTGTTAGTCCTGATCTTTCTGATGAATATGTTATAGTACCCTCAAATATACCAGGATATCCTCAGTAAGTTTGATTATTTAATTAGACATTTTATTGTATTCAGTATCATATATTTAGAATAATAATAATTTGGAGTATGATTTATTTTTATTATTGTCAACTTTTTATTTAATTTGAAATCATATACAAATTTTTATTTCATAAAGCAATTAAAATATATTTTCCTTTATGATACTCGATTGATTATTATTCTTTGTCAAAATAATCTAAAAATAAATTAAGCTATGATATTTTGTACATTTTATAAATCTGTTTCTAACATTATTGGATATAGAATATTTTACTTACACACTAAATCAATACAATATTTATATTCCATACATGGAAATTATTTTATACTACTCACATAAGTTTTTTCTTTAGTATTATGTAATATGTTATATTTTTTAGAGAGAAAGAAATTAGTGCTAGTCCTCCAAGACCTAGTACTCTTTCTATTCAAACTCAACAAGACTACAACAGTTCTAGAACTCCATTAAAAGTAAGTTTATAAAATCTCAAAAACTTAATTTTTCCTAACTGTTCATTAACTTTTATCTTATTTCACCATTACTTTTAATCCTCACGTAAAAAAATGAATTGTTTTTAGTTTTCAAATTTTTTTAATAATACCTTTCTTATAATATTTAGAATTAAATTATAGACAAGTTTTGTTTAGCTCAAATGTGGTGTCTAGAAATAATTAAGTAATAATAAATTATGTAATTTTATTATATTTTTCTTCTCTAGTGGTGATTGTTTGATAAACTTCAAGTAAAATATTAATGACAAATATTTTGTTTTTATTTTTATTATTTTGAATATATAAAATAAAGCATTAAATATATTAAATAAGAGAAACCATGTTATACATGTTATATCTTTAATACCATTGATTATATATACTGATATTTATAATCAATAATAATACTTTCTACACAAAGTAGTTAGTTTTAATATTGTTTATTTTGCATTCTACAGCTATTATGTTTAATTTAATTAAAATATCAATTAATTAACTTAAAATATTTTTGCTTAAATGAAATTTTTTATACATTTTTAACATAAATACCTCTGTAATATTATCATGAAATTGGTTTAGTCTGTACCTAGATCTCAACCTATTACAATGAATGCACGGACTTCAAAGAATATAAGTGGACCTGATTTTTGTTCTATATCACCGCCTACAGTAAGTTTATGTCATGATTTTATATTATTAAATTATTGAAATAATTAAAATTATTATTTCAGGTATAATTTATTAGTGTATTGACAAAATACATTTTTTTTTTTATTATTTTAATTTTTAAGTAAAATTTTAATGCTCTACTAAAAAAAAGCACTTGTAAAAAATTGATAGATTGATTAGAGTCAATGAAACAGATATTGAATTGTTCAATACATTTATTTCATTTTAATTTACATTTTATGTGTTTTTTAAACATAAAAATGTTGTTATAAATCGAAAAGTATTTAATTTATTAAAATATATTAATGTAAAAATGTATAATTTATTTATTATTAAAAAAAAAAAAAAAATGTTTATACATTTTTCTGTATCCATATTTTTATGACTCAAGGTTCAATTTATGCTTGGAACTCCTCCATCAGGAAGAAGAATTTCAGAAACACCTCCTTACAACACATGGAATATTACTCCAACAAGTTCTCCATTAAAGAAGTCTGGTAAATAATATTGGCTTTTTTTTTATTTAAATCTAGATAATTTAAAATTTATAATTTGTCACATATAGTCCTGAGTTCACCGATTTTGAATACACAACAATTTACATTTAATACCAACCAAAAACCAGGTACTGTTGGCCTACCTTTTAGTAATAACAATCGTGCTATGACCTTACCTGGTAATTTCAAATAATATAATTAATTTTTTTAAATTAAAAATTTTATGAAAATTACTAATAATTATTATTTTGATAAACAATTTTTTTTAGAACTTGGAAATATAACTTTTCCTGATCTTCCTCAAGAAACAATATTAGAAGTTAGTTAAAACTACTAAATATTATTGTTCCTTTATATTGTATTTATGTGATTTTGTTAAAATTAAAATGATTTCATTATTAATTTTAGAAAGAACATATAGAGACATTAGCTAAACTCAATTTTGTATTAGCTTTGGTTGAATGCATTGTTGAATGCGCTTCTCCTAAAAGACCACGTTATGAACGATTAGTGCTTTTAGTTAGAGCATTGCAATTACTGAGCTCTAGCTTAAGCATAGCAACTTCCGAACTCAAAGCTGGCAGACTCCAGCCTTCAACTAATGTTAAAAATGGTAAAATAATCAAACAACAAATACTTGTTTTTTAAATTTAAGTAATATGTATATTTTAATCAAACCAAATAAATAACTTTTTTTTACCTAGTATAATAGCGTATCATTATTAGTTTCTACTAATAAAAAAAAAAACTATTATCAGCGAATTGTTTGTAATTCAATTTATTTAAAATTTAATTTTACTATTTAAAACTATGTTGAAAAATTTTTTAAAATATATTTTTTAATTATATAGTGGTGCAACAACTAAATGAAACTTTTCATAAAGTTTTGGATGACTGTAAACAAATTAATGTACCAAATATGCTACATAACACGTCTTCAGCAACTACAACTGCTGAAAAATTATTATATGATTATGCTGTTGACATTGTAAGTTTTCTTTTATGTAATATATTATTTATATATATATATATATATATATATATATATGTATGCGAATAACCAATATGTTTTAGTGTGCTAAAGCTGCATTAAAAGAACTTGGTAACACTCCATATGATTACTTTAAATCATACCAAACAGCCCAGATTCTATTACATAGTTTGTCTCAACAAGTAAACTCTCCAAGCGACAAAGAAATATTAATACGATGTAATTAATAATAGTTATAGTTATCAAAATCCATATAAATTGTATTAATTAATATTTATTTGACACAGATCGTGATGCAGTAGAAAAACGATTATCTATATTACAAGAACAAGGTTATGTTTACTCAAATACAGTCAATGGCAACCATAGCTCTACTTGACTCATGTTAATAATTGATAATCATGTATTTACTAAAATTTTACAATATTCTAGTCCCTTGATTTTTTTTTTTTTTTGATTTATTTATATGTAAAAATGTGTTCTATCATAATATGGCTTGTATACAATTTCCTTATGAACAAAATATATGAAATATAAAAATATGTTATCCATACTAACAATACTATGTTTTAATTATACATCATGTTAAATGCTTTTACTTTTAATATATAATTTTATTATTTATATTTATATATTCTTGAATTACAATCATATTATGAATAAACTATTATGACTTTAGTTCATTAAATAAAAAAAAAAAAAAAACTTAATCAAATTCAATATGTCTGCTTTCTTTGATAAATACCTTAATACAAACGCTTTTAATACAAATTTAAAGCGTGGAACGTTCAGAGTTCGATTCATAGACATATAAAGATATGGACTACGCTTAGAGATAGAAAACCAAGATCAACATTTAGTAAGAGAGTTAGATTACAAATACATCGATCTTTAACCCATGATGGGTGTATTTAATTCCTTTGATGTCAAGTGCCCTCCATAGTTCAACAATAATTATACTAAGACTAACATATAGACAATAATAAATAGATTAAGAATTCATCATATAAAACTAAAACATGGATATAGGTTAGAATAGTCTAATAATCAATAAAATATAGTATAACTTAGAGCATGCTTAATAAATAATAATAATGTTTTATACATGACGTTAGTTATTTAATGTTAATTAATACTTGTAGAACTACATGAAACAAATATAAGCAAATAGATAATGTAATAATAAATAATGTATAAATAATTTATAATTTAATAATGGGTTTGCAATCACGTTGATGATTGTTGCAATCATAGGGTTGCCATACGTCCTGGTGTCCCGAGAAAGTGTTTCGAGATAACGATTTGTCCGGGTTACAACATTTTACTCGATAAAATATCAAGAAAATTGAAAACAAAAGAAAGGATCGGTTTCTCACGGTAGAAATTGAAAATCTCGTAACAAAACTTGAGAACGAGGAATTATCAATAGAACTAATTTTGAAAGTTAATGTGATGAATGTTATGTTCTTTGTTACAACTATTTAAAAAAATGGAACAATTCAAATCAACATGTAACTAATTTAAAATCAATGTTATGGATAACATTAGCCCCAAAGACAATAGTCAATTGGGAAAATTTCAAAAAATCAGTAATCTTTATAAACGCTATAATGTTAAACAATCTTAATTTTGATGAATAAATATATTTCAATAATACAAAATGTTTGAAAAAATTAATCAGCAAAATGACGAGTGGCATTGTCAAAAAATAGAAAATTAATGGATATATATTTTCAAAATATTCACTGATAACAATCATGCATTTTCTGAGCTATTAAAAGTTGTTAAATTTATTTTTGTTTTGTCGGATTCGAATGCACTGATGAATAGCACATGGACAAATTCAAGATAATAACTAGATATAAAAACGGTATATTATAAAAACGTGCTTCAATAATACATCTTATGAAGAATTCTACGACCAAAGTTTGGGAAACAAGTCTTTATTAAAACAAGTTTATGGATCAGTCAAATATGATGTAGTAAAATCAACAGAAGAAACTCTGGACCCCAAAAGATCTGAAGACTAAGAATATGAATTATTATAATTACAGTAGAGCCTCGATAATCCGGACTAGTGCTGAACACCAAATCCGGATAAATCCATATCCGGATTGATCCGGATTGAAACAAATGTTACAATCCGTTAAATCCGGATTATGATATTATTTATTTCAAATTTACTGTATATAAATTATAAATAACATTAATAAATATAAACATTTGGTGAAAATTTCAAGTATTTAATCTTGTTATCTTCATGGGTTATTCTATTATCGCATGTATTGTTATTGTTCAGAAGTGCTATAAATAAATATTGTGTTGCGTTCTTCGGTGTTATCCGATATCAATTGTACTTTTATTAATATTTAATAATAATTTATACTTTATAGACTGTTGTAATAAATATTTTTTTTTTTTTATTTTTTTTTATTAGGAAACTTGGTTAAAACCATTAGTTTCAACAATTATGATAATATACAAAGTAATTTACAAATATATAATATTCTATTAAATTAAAAACAAAAGAAAAGAACAATTTTTTTTTTTTTAAATTTTTAAATTTAAATTATGAAACCAGCCTGGTTGAATAAATTAAGTACGGATAAAGTAATGGATTGAGAATTGTAGGAGAGGATAGATTGAGGATTGGCTGGAATATTTAGAGAATTGATTTGTGAGAGAAAGCTTTCGCGTTGGGAGGAGATGTATGGGCAGTTAAAAAGAATGTGGGTGATATTGCAAGTGGCGGGAGAAAAATGGCGAGTACAGAGGGGGGAATCATTTAGGCCAAGTTTGAATGAGTGCGAGGGTAGTAAGGTGTGTCCGAAACGAAGACGAGAGAAAGATGAAATATTTTTGCGAGATAGTTTGGATTTATCAAACCACGGAAGAGGAGAAATGGATGGCACAATGTCTCTGTACCAAGTGGCAAAGTGAGTGGGAAGACCTTTCCAGTATCTTAGCCACAATTTATCAACGCTATTTTTAAGCATTGGACAAAAGTCAGACCAGGGTATTGTACTGGATGAAGGGCAGCATAAGAAGGCTGTCGATTTAGCTAGAGAGTCTGCTGTCTCGTTGCCGGAGATCCCCGTATGACCAGGGACCCAGAGAAACTGTATGTTAAAATTTAATTCGGTGAGCGTGTGCAGGAGTGATCTGATTGTAATAATGAGTGGGGAGTTGGGTGTATTGAAAACATTTGAGGCAAGAGCTTGTAAGCATGAAAGAGAGTCGGTTATGATTAGAAATTTGTTAGTGATTAGTGTGGAGATGAGAAGTAGGGATTCAATTATAGCATGGCATTCGGCGGTATAAGACGATGCTGTGGGAGGAAGATTATTAGTGAAGGAAATATGAAATTCCGGAATTACAAAAGTAAAACTGGCTGAAAGAGGTGTAACAGATCTGTCAGTGAATATTAAAATAAAATCGGGGAAATTATTGCGGATGTAATCCAAAAATAGACCATTGACGAAATTAGGTTGAGCAATTTTAAGATAATCTATAGGAAACTCCAAAAAGTTTTTACTGAAATGTATTGTGGGAGAAAGAAGGAGCGAAGGAAAGTTTGTTTCGTACAACGGTAGTTTATCCGATTTAATGATATATTCTCGTATTAGGGCGAGCGAATGAGCAGTTAGAGCAAGAATGGGAAGCGATTTTGAGACGTAACGCCAGGAATAATAAATCTCAAGATAGTCGTAGAAGATGTCAGGGTGAAGATTGGCCAAACTTTTGAGCAGGAACTTACCAGCCAGCCATCTACATCTGATATGTAGTGGAGGGCAGGCCGTTTCAACTTCAACAGCTGGAGATGGAGTAGATCTTAAGGCACCAATGATAGTTCTTAGGCATGATACTTGAAGTTTGTTAAGTTTGTTACAATGTGTAGAAGAGGCTGAAACAAAGAAAAAACATCCGTACTCTAATTTAGCACGGATAACCGATTTATATATGAATAGCAGAGATGAGGGATGGGAGCCCCACCAAGCATTCGCTACCGCTCTAAGAAAATTGGACCAGCGAGAGGAGAATGATTTAAGTTCTCCAAGATGGGGTGACCAACGAAGCTTAGCATCTAAGGTTAAACCTAGATATTTATAGTTATTTACAAAAGGTAGTATATGACCATTGATGATAATATCGGGACAATTATTGAAGCGTCTTCTTGTAAATATTAAAGCTTTGCATTTTTCAGGTGCTATAGAAAAAAAGGAGGATGACAAGATATTATGTAAAGAATTTAATGCATTGTTAAGTGATATGGTTGCGAGATCGATATTATGGTTGTGGACATAGATTACGATGTCGTCCGCATAGACTAAACATTTGTGCCCAAGTGTTTCTAATTGATTTACAACGAAGGACATGTAGATGTTAAAGAGAATTGGGCTAAGGCAGCTACCTTGAGGGAGACCGGTTGTGGTGAAGCGAACGTTGGTGGAATTGAATGGTGAGAAGAAAAATAATTTCCTGTTGGAGAAAAGTAGTGATACGAGGTTGGAGAAAAAAGATGGAAGATTGAGGGTTTGGAGATGAGTGAGTAGTAAGGGAATGTTGACAGAATCGAAGGCACCACGGATGTCTATAAATGTAGCAATACAAAATTCTCGATTATTAAAGGACTGATAGATTTTACCTGTAAATTTAGCAAGGCATTGGTTTGTACCCCTTCCTCTTCTGAAAGCATATAAGTTATCAGGTAAAATAGAGTTCGATTCTAACCACCAGTCTAGCCTATTTTTGATTATATATTCAAATATTTTACATATAGCGGAAGATAATGCGATAGGTCTGAAGGATGAGATTGAATTTGCCTTAGGTATTGGGATTACTTTGAAAACAGTCCAGGATTCAGGGATCCTGTTCGATATAATTATATTATTTAGGATAGAGAGGAGAAGGTCGAGTGCATTGGTTGGTAAGTTACGTAACATTATTGCAGATATGTGATCCATGCCAGAAGCAAGAGACTTACGTGTTTATTTATGTGTTTATTGAGACAGTGCTCAGAAGTGGGGGCGGCGGAATATACATGAGGGGCATAGATAGATTCTGATTCAGAAGGTACGTAGCAAGGAGCAACTTTGGAACAAAAGTCATCAAACCAATCATCATTATGGGGTCTTATAACTGGGTGTACGCACCTGCGAAAACGTTTGGCAGTGGCCCAAAGAGATTGCAAAGAAGATGAGGGATTGAGTGTGGAGCAAAATTGTTTCCAGGAGTCTTTTTTTTGTTTTTTAGTAGATGGGTGGTGGAGGCGCATTGATTGCGGTATTTAAAGAGATCTTGTATTGAGCCAGTATTACGATAGATTTTAAATAGTGCGTTACGTTTGTTAACGGATAGAGTACAAGAAGTATCCCACCATGGGGGCGAAGTTGGATAATTATTGGAATTCACCCGCTTGAGGGGAATGGCTTCTTTGGCAGAGTCAAATATTAACTGAGTAAGTTGGTTGTATTTTTCAATATTACACGTTAATTTATCAATATGAGTGATTGAGGAATCGATAAGTTGTGCGAAGAGTTTCCAGTTAGCTTTATTGAAGTTGAATTGAGGAGGGGATGATTGTATACTTGCGGAATTAGTAAAAGTTGATCTATTGGAATAAGGTTGATAGGCGACGTCAAAATTGGTTGAAATTAGTATCGGGAAGTGGTCACTACCATGAGGGTCGTCCAGTGTGGACCACGGTGTGTTCCAAATTAAGTTGGGAGAGGTGAAGGAAATGTCTATGGCGGAGTTGCTACAGTTAGGTCTACCGAGATGAGTGTCGGAGCGATCGTTGAGAATGCAGAGTCCTAAGGAGTTAATTGTTTCATAAATTTCGTTTCTACGATGAGAGGAGAAGGTGGAGCCCCAAGCAGGATGATGTGCATTAAAATCGCCGGAAAAGATACAATTATTTTTGGTTAGTTGGAACAGTGAGTTCCATACACTTGATGGGATAGTTGAGTCATTGGGAATATAACAAGACCAAACTGACAAGGGGGAAACATTGACGCCGTTGTCGATCTCTACTCCGATCACGTCGATCTTGTAACGAGCAAATGTTTGAATTAAATTGGCTTCAATATCGACTTTTCGGAATTTGAGGGATACGTGAGTTGCTATTGCAACACCACCGTAACCATCGGGACAGTTCGATCTTACAAGATTGAATTGGGGTATGTTGAATTTACGGGTAGGGGAAAGCCAAGTTTCAGAAAGTATTGCAATTGAGCATTTGGTTAAGGTAAGTAAGTGTAGAAGAGAAGGTAAGCGCGCAGGGAGACTACGAACGTTCCATTGCAGTATATTTATATTATTCATATTAGTAAAATAGAGCGTATGTATTAAGTTGAGGTTTAGTTTTGGGGATGAGAGGTGCAAGAAATATTAGGAATGACTAGGAGAGAATGTATAGATGACTCAATTAGGTTTTTTAGTGATGTGGCAGATTGTGTGGAAAGATCTAAAGAGTTTAGTAGTGATTTCGATAGTCGTTGTGATAGAGTATCAACCCATGAAAAGTCTTTATTTTGAATATTTGTGGCTGTATCATGTCGATTATTAATAACATATTTTAAAAATTCTCCATTAGGTACAGAGACACTTGCTTGCTTGGGAAGGTGAAAGTGATTTTTATGAGGGGAGGGGGAACGGGATTTATGTTTCCTGGTGGGACGTTAGGAATTTTTTGGAGGTGCAAGGGTTGGCGAGGTTGGTATGGTGTTAAAGGCATGAGGGATAAAATATGTTTTATTTGAAGAAGAGGAAGAAGGCTGGTTACTTACAATGTTGGAGTAGCTAAAAGCTGATGTGACCTGATTTTGTTTCTTGAAGATTACTGCGTCTCGAAAAGATAGGTTTTCTGTGGCCATTATTTTTTTGAGGTCCCGCTGGGAATTCCATTCACGACAGTTACGATCGGTTGCAAGATGTGGAAGTTGGCAGTATAGGCAGCATGGATCGGTTGCTTGAGCAGTTGGGCACGATTCAATGGAGTGTTTGCTTACACCGCAGTGGCTACATGTTGGGCTACTACGGCAAAATTTCGATGTATGTCCAAAACGTAGGCAATTTTTACATTGGAGAGGAGAACGTACGCTAGGTGATACCTCAAAGAGCATGTTGTAAATGGATATGCATTTTGGGATTTTACAAGATAAAAATTTAAGTTCTACTATGCGCGTGGGAGTGATTTTTCTGTCCTTGTTGGTAGAAATACGTTTAAATGCAACAATTTCAAATTCACTTTTCATGCCATCCCAGAAGTCCTCAACTGAGAAAGCCGTATCCAATTGAATGATACCCCATGAGAAAAGATTAGGGTTGAAGGTATGTATACGGATAGATTATTTTCCTGAAGTAGAGGAGATTCGAGGCATGTGTTGGCATGGAGCGTTGAGTCAAATGTAATTTTGATTTTTTTGTGACCGTTAGGTTTGATGTTATTGATTCCGAAAAAATTGTTACAGAAAAATTTTGCGCATTTCAGTGGGTGCCAAAAGCTAGTACCGGAGCTTGAATCTGTGGATTCAATTATTATGACAGGTGGGCCGTTATAATCATCTGAAAAGCATTTACTATGATGGTGAATATTAGGTTTAGTGTAAGTGAATGTCTGCGTGATTGGTAAATCTGTAATGTTTGACGTGCTGCTACCAGGTTTGGTGTAATGAATTTCGTAATTAGTGTTATCGGTAGAGCTCGTGTTGCCGTGCGAGTGGTTGTCGTCCGTAGACATCGGAACGTTTATATCTGTAGATAACGGTGATTGTGATGCGGTACTTTCATAATTAAAACTTTGATTATTTGTGTTCATACATAGAGTAGGGGGGTTATCCAAGATTTGTTGAAAATTTGGAGAGATAGGACTGGATGGATTCGAGGTGTTAATAGAAGTTTTGGACTTACGGTTTTTGGAATAATCCACTTGTTTCCATTCTGAGTCTGTTCGGTTATTTTTGGTTTTGGTGGTAGAAGGTTTTTGGCCTAGATTACGACCGTCGCCGCCTGACGACGACGGCATTTGCGATAAAAATTTATTAACACGATAAGATAGCGCACTGCACAAATGAATAAAACGACTGTTCACAGCGAACGCGTAATCGCGACTGGTAATAAATATTAAATGTATTATGTATAATGTATAACAATATTATGTACCTATTAGCCTGAATTTCTACAGTTCTTTAAATATACTAAGATTTATGTAGAACCCGAGTGTATTTGCTATTAGGCGTCTTATAACATTGAATCGATTGTCAATAGATCTGAGATCGTAATTTGTATTTTTAGGTTGATAATAATGAAAAAATAGCTGATTATCTCAAAAACAATGAAGCCGGATTGGATCCGAAATTCGAATCAACGGATTGATCCGAAATCCGGATTAAATAAATGTAATCCGTAATCCGGATTGGTCAAAATCATGCTCAGCACTAGTCCGGCCCCCCCCCCGATAATTCAGTGAACCCGGTAATCCGGACGGCAAAATTCCATTTGTTCGTAAATAGATTTTACGAGAATTCACGGAACCCAATTAATCTATGCATAAGATATTATTAATGACAAATACAATTTCGTCATTTTTATTACTTACTGTTCCTAGTAAAGACTTATATGTACATATGTAGGTAATAAATCGATGCCCGATGGTCAGTTCGTTTACTTCTTTCTTGTCGAATGGTTATTATTCTTGTTTGTTACAATGGCTCCTCGTAAACACGTAACTTCGACTTTAGATCAAAAAATTGAAATAATTGAGTTAATAGAAAATGGCCAGAATTATGGTATGATTGCTGAGAAGTACGGAATAGGTAAATCGACTGTTGGTGACATAAAAAAAAATAAAGAGAAAATTATGAAGTTTGTCAGCACAACTGAACGTGGTCCAGGCACACGTAAAACTTTAAAAGAGCCGGATAATCTTGTTCTCGAAAATGCTTTATTTATATGTTTTATGCAACAGCGGAGACGACATATTCCGATAAGTGGTGAAATAATTTGTGAAAAAGTACGTTTATTTCATCGTGAAATAACAAAGCAGGAAGATGATTTCACTACTAGTAGAAGTTGGCTAGACAATTTTAAACATCGTCATGGTATTAGGCGTCTTAAAATAATGGATGAGAAACTTTCATGTGACGAAGCATCAATCGAACCATTTCGAAATTAATTGCAGCGAGTCATAAATGAAAACAATTTGGACCTAGAACAAATTTATAAGGCTAATTAGATGAATCCGGTTTATTCTGGCAAATGTTACCAGAGCATACATTGGCATCAAGTCATGAGAAAAACGCCCCTGAAAGAAAAATTATTAAAGCTAGAATAACATTCATGCCTTGTGCTAATACAAGTGGAACACATAAACTACCTTTACTCGTCATTGGGACTGCACAAAAACCACGTGCGTTTAAATCAGTTAACCTTCCCGTATACTATCGTGGACAAAAAAATGTTTGGGCCACTCGTGTTTTATTTTTAGACTGGTTTCAAAAACAATTTGTTCCTGTATTTCGTGAGCAACTTTTAAATGTAAATTTATCTCCAAAAGCTTTATTATTGTTGGATAATTACCCTGGACATCAGCAGAAGAATTACGTAGTGATAATGGCAACATTTTTGCAATGTTTTTACCTCCTAATACCACAGCGCTTATTCAACTGATAGATCAAAATGTAATTCAGAATATTAAATTAAACTATCGTAAGTCTCTCTTAGCCAATGTTCTTGCTGATTCGGTGCATGGCGAAAACCTTATTGATGCTCTAAAGGCCATAAATTTAAAGGACGCAGTTTTTAATTTTGCAAATTGTTGGAAATTGGTCCCGCCAATGCTCATAAAAAAATCATGGAAACACTTGCCTCCTTACCAAACAGAAAATAAAATCGACGAAGTTGTTGAAATTAATGACATTCAACTTTCTACACTCATAAACCAGATACAGGAAACATGTACGAATAAAATGTCTGATTCTCAAGCACAGGAATGGGCTTGCCGTGGCGCAGACGAAGATTTAGCGAATCATGAAATCTTAACTGATGATCAAATTCTACAAATTGCAGCAAAAGAGGATGATATTGACGACGAGGATGAAAGTGGCTCAATCAGTACAAGTAAAGTTTCTCCTTCAGAAGCTGTGAATGCACTGAATACTGTATTGCAATGGGCGGAAGATGAGAACATGGATACATGAACAAGTTCTACATATTATTATAAACATTTTTTTTTTTTTTTGTAAATCATTAGTTTAGTTTTAATTTAAGTTGTTTATTATTCTTTTAATTTAAAATGCAATAAATATAAAGCTGGTGAAATTAAAAATAAAACCTTAATCATTTAAGTAGGTAATCTTGAAAAACCTCCGGTAATCTGGACGATGCTCGGTCTAAATTCGTCCGGAATATCGAGGCTCTACTGTATTCTTATTATTCTTATAAAAACTATTATTATTATTATATTGCTTCTATACATAATTCATTAAAATATATATATATATATATATATATTTTCTTCTTTCATATGTTGATATATATATTTATAATATTATATATGTATAATATTTATCCATTTAAAAAGTCTCGGGTTCGAAAAAATATAATCTGGTAACCCTATGATTGTATATAACTTGTAACGTTCAGTCAAAATAATGTTACCAGTGTGTGTGTGTGTGTGTGTGTGTACTATTTACTTATCGTCTGTTCACCTGAATATGATTCTGATACGTGTTCACGTGATTAAACTTTTTTTAATTCACATGTATTAACAAAACGTGATTAATTTTGTTTCATTTACGTGAACACGTATAATTATATTCACGTACAAAAACGATACCCCTGGTTAAACCCATGGATATAATAATATTAATATTTATTATTACCAAGCTCAGATTATGATAATTTGGGGCCCAGGCCAAACAATTTTAAAGGCCTATAGCTATAATCAAAATATTGGTGACCCACACATAAATATATTTCAGAGACAAAATAGAAAATTATATTCTAATTTATAAATTTATTTCTTATTTTTTTAAATACAAAAATAAAAATGTTATTTGTATAAATAATTTTTTCTTTCTTTTTGGGAAGCAAACCCTTTAATTTTATCATCGGTACTAATTACCTCCAAAATATCACTCTCTGAACACAAAACCATAAAACTATTTAAATTTTCTTAAGAACTGCTCGTTCTACGTATACTTGTTTTTTATACGAGTTAAAATAACGAAAAAAAAACCTACTATCCGCCAGGAGCCCACTATGTTTAATATTCGTTATGGGCCCGGGGCCATGACCCCTTCTGCCCTCCCTTTAATCTGGGTTTGAATATTATGTCTATGCTTAAACCACGTATAATAACTATTTATTCTATAGTTAAGTGCAACGTATTTTATAGCATATTGCAGCATTTTTAGAAACATATTTTGAGGATTTTTTTGTACATATAAATCCGGTCCTTATTTATTATATATTAAATAATAAATACTTGCTTGTAACATTTATTATGAATATTATTGTCAAACCAAATAAATATTTTTTTTTTCACATAATTTAATAGTTGAAATATTTCCAGCAAATTGTTTGTAATTCAATTTATTTAAATCAATGTTTAATAGATCAATTATACAGTTCGATCTTCAAACTTGTGACAGTTGCGGCGTGAAACTGTTACGGATACTGACAGGCAAATAGAGAGCGAAATAAAAATCTAACAGACGTATTTCTGCATAGTGTTGTAATAATGATGTAAAGATGTTTATCAACCGTCGGCATTCGCACTCATTAACCCTTTTTTAGGGGACAATGAAGGTCAACTGTGAAACGCATAAAACAACAAAAAAAACTGTTGCCCATTCGCTCTCGCGATCCCACCAAGTAACCATTGAAGCCCATGTACATGTTTATGCCCATCCATGTTTATATTCGATCAGCTGATTACTAATAACTGATTATATGGTCCACGTTCGGGCACTGTCGTTTTTTAATAGGCTATTTCGCAGTTAGCAGCAGCTGATTTATTTATAATAACAATAATAATAATAATAATAAATACAAATACGCTCTCCGTTTGTGTATTATTATTATTGTTACTGTTGTTGTTGTTATTATTATTACTATTACTATTATTATTATTATTATTATTATTATTATTATTATTATTATTATTA